CCAACCACATGGGGGTTTCTATAGGCCATTGCTCCCCTTGCCTCTCTGAGGGGGCCAGGTTCTGGGCGTGGTCACCGGTAGGCTTAAGAACTCCATACACATGACTGATACCAAAGTCTGACATTAGCACATCAGCCTGGGATAGCTTGGGGGAACCTCCGGGACTCAGCCAAAAAATGGCGTTTCATTACATTCAATGCTGGTTTTTTGGTCAATATTTGAGCGCAGGGATTTTGGTGTTCTAACAGGATACTGGCAGCCTGATGCTTGGTTAGTGTTCCTGGGCCTCGTTATTGTGTTGCATTGGATCATCTTTCTCAACCTGCTGTATCAGTCTCGTCTTGACTGCTTGCAGTTTCTCCTCCTTCCTGGTGAGCTTCTGTCTTTCCTTTTCTGTGGGTAGTTAGTTTCAGGGAACAATAAGGGGCTTTTCCCAGAAACCCTGTGCTCATCTAGTTCTGTTTGTGGGGTTGAGCTTTGGCAATTGTGTTGAATGTAATGAAATGCCAATTTCTGGGTGAGCCCCGATTGCTCAATGATTTTCCCCATCCCTTCCAGGTCGTTGGATGGTATGTTTTGTGTGTACATCTGCTCTGGAGCTGAGTGCTCAAGCCAATGAACAGTATGACCTTCCCCTTTCCCTCCCCAAATGAGTGGAAGAAGTGGGGCAAGTGAACACATTGTTGTTTCGAGTTTCAATCATTTGTTTACATTGTTGGGGTTCCAGTTCCTCCCCATTCATTCAGCAGGTCATGAGGCTTTGGTCTCTTTTGACCCAACAGTGGGCCGTATTGGTTCACAGACTTTTTGGGTGCCTTCCCAGGTCAGGTGGAGTAGTGTCACCTGCTGCCTGTGACTGTGAGAGGGGGTGCCAAGTTCTGGCTCAGGTCCCTGGTAGGGCGATCTAAACGCCACGGTTGATGTGATATAGTACAGTAGTTGGGAGCCATCTCGGCAAGATAGCTTCAGAGGGCCACCGGGATTCACCCACCATGACTGGGCAATTTTGCCCCTGTTGGGGGCCTCAGCCAGGAACACAGTTTAGAAGACAGCTCCAGTTCCACACTGAGTACACATGAGTCCAGGCCACCTCTCCAGTAGTCTTTGTCTTCTGATAAAAATGTTTAAATTGTTTATCAACTTTTAACGTTATTAGATTAGATTTAGTTAGAAACAAATGGTAAACATAAATTGTAATTTATAATATCCAACACCATTTTGTAATGATGTGCTGTAGAATACAGTACATGTTAGATTTCTCAGTGGCACTATAACATTGCAGTGTATGAATACGTGTCAAGTCTGACAGACAGGCCAGGATTACTGGATATTGTGGCAAAAGTAGAAGAGGAAAGAGATGAAGATGCCAGTCATCAACGCTACTTCTATCCACCTCATCGCTCCCTGGAAAAAATCCGTGCGGCACTTAAGGTAGTCTGAAATGTTTCTTCATTTGTTTCATTCTCCATTCACCCCTCTCTCCCCTCTCCCCCCCTCTTCCCCCCTTCTCTCCCCCCCTCTTCCCCCTCCCCTCTCTTCCCCCTCCCCTCTCTTTCCCCTCCCCTCTCTTTCCCCTCCCCTCTCTTCCCCCTCCCCCCCTCCCCCCTCTCTTCCCCCTCCCCCTCTCTTCCCCCTCCCCCTCTCTTCCCACTCCCCCTCTCACTTCCTCTCTCCACCTCCCCTCTCACTCCTCTCTCCACCTCCCCTCTCACTCCTCTCTCCACCTCCCCTCTCACTCCTCTCTCCACCTCCTCTCTCACTCCTCTCTCCATCTCCCCTCTCACTCCTCTCTCCACCTCCCCTCTCACTCCTCTCTCCACCTCCCCTCTCACTCCTCTCTCCACCTCCCCTCTCACCCCTCTCTCCCCCTCTCCTCTCATCCCTCTCTCCCCCTCCCCTCTCTCCCCCCCCTCCTCCCCCCCTCTCCCACTCACCCCTTCCACTCTTATCCCCCTTTCTCTCATATCCCCCATTTCTCTTGTCATCACCCTTTCTATCTCATCCCCCCCTTCTCTCTCCCCTCTCTCCCCTCTCTCATCCTTATTGTCTCACTTGTCCCCATTGCCTTACCTGGTTGATGGGGTTCTGGGAGTTCTTCTACTCCCCAAGCCTGGGCCGAGACCAGACTTAACTTGTGAGAGTTTGGTCCACTAGGCTGTTGCTTGCAGTGGCTTGCAGGCCCACATATCCACAACAGCCCGGTTGGTCCGGCACTCCTTGGAGGAAACTATCTAGTTTCCTCTTGAAGATGTCCACTGTTGTTCCGGCAATATTTCTTACGCTCGCTGGGAGGGTGTTGAACAACTGTGGACCTCTGATGTTTATACAGTTCTCTCAAATTGTGTCTACGGCACCCCTATTCTTCATTGGTTCTATTCTGCATTTTCTTCCATATTGTTCACTCTAGTATGTTGTTATTTTACTGTGCAGATTTGGGACCTGGCCCTCCAGTATTTTCCACGTGTGCTGTATATTATTTGATACCTCTCCCGTCGCCTTTCTAGTGAGTACATTCGGAGAGCTTTGAGACGATCCCAATAATTTAGATGCTTTATCTCGTTTATGTATCCTGTATATGTTCTCTGTATTCTCTCTATTTCAGCAATCTCTCCTGCTCTGAATGGGCAAGTGAGTACTGAGTAGTACTCAAGATGGGGCAGGACAAGTGATTGAAGAGTACAACCATTGTGATGGGATCCCTGGATTTGAAAGTTCTCATAATCCATCCTATCATTTTCCTGGCTGCCACAATATTTGCTTGGTTATGCTCCCTAAAATTTAGGCCAGCCAGACATCTTTATTCCCAAATCCTTGACATGTTGCTTTCCTACTATGGGCAAATTTGATTGCATTTTGTACCCTTTATTATGTTTAATGTTTTCATTTTTCTGTATCTGAGTACCTGGAATTTATTGCTGTTAAACATCATGTTATTTTCTGCTGCCCAATCGAAAACTTTATTAATATCTGCTTGTAGCTTTTCATTATCTTCAGCAGAGGAAATTTTCATGCTGATTTTAGTGTCATCTGCAAAGGATGATACGAAGCTGTGCCTTGTATTCGAGTCTATATCTGATATGAGAATAAGGAAAAGCAGTGGTGCAAGGACTGTACCTTGAGGTACTGAGCTTTTAACTGCGCTTGGACTCGATTTTATATGGTTGACTGTTATTCTGTGTTCTGTTTGACAGAAAACTTAGTATCTAGCATTCTACTTTACCAGTTATTCCCATTGACCTCATTTTGTGTGCTATCACTCCATGGTCACATTTATCGAATGCCTTTGCGAAGTCTGTGTATACCACATCTGCATTCTGTTTTTCTTCTAAATGCCTCTGTGGTTTTGTCGTAATGGTCAAGTAGCTGTGAGAGGCATGATCTTCCTGCTCTAAATCCATGTTGGCCTGGATTGGTCTCCATGAAACTAGTGACCTGACTCCTGATCACTGTCTCAAATACTTTTATTATATGGGATGTTAGTGCAACTGGTCTATAATTCTTTGCCAATGCTTTGCTACCTTCCTTGTGTAGAGGGGCTATGTCTGCTGCTTTAAGCGCATCTGGTATCTCCCTCATGTCCAAGCTCTTCCTCCACACTATACTGAGTGCCTGTGCTACTGGCACTTTGCATTTCTTTATAAATATTGAATTCCATGAGTCTGGACCCGGAGCTGAGTGCATGGGCATATTGTCAATTTCTCTTTCAAAATCTGCCACGCTCGTGTTGATATCAGTTACATATACAGGGGTTTGGATATCACGCATAAAGAAGTTGTCCGGATCTTCCACTTTCATGCTGTGTATCGGGGTGCTAAACATGTCCTGTCACTAAAGGACTTTACTGAAAGTCCTTTCACTAAACATGTCCGAAAGGCTAAACGGCTTTAGTAGAAGTCCTTTCTGTAAACATGTCCAAAAGGCTAAACGAGGTGCTACGCCTTACTTGTCCCCATTGCCTTACTTGTCCCCTACCCCTCTCATCCCCCTCACTTTTCGTCATATGCAAATTTGTTTGTTTGTTCTATCATCTTTTATCATAAAATTTATTGTTTTAAATTAAATGTATAGGTTATTGTCTATTGTGGTTGTGATGCAGGGGGTGTCAACCTACATTGGTCATGATCTAAATTTACCAGAATCAGTTTTTTGTAATGATCATTTAGTTGCCTTGAGAATAAGACACTAGTGAAGTGATACAATCCTGGTGATGTACTCAAGTGATGTAAGGGACAGTGGTTGTTTAAAACTGCTGATAATTGCACTAGATATTGTCATCTCATTGGATGTGATTTTAAAGTTGGTCAAATTAATAAATCACTTCCCTCACTTCCTGTGTATTAATTACTTAAGTTTTAACTGCTTATATTATTTTATTAAATCTTGTAATGCTAGAAATAAATTGATTTTATGTAGAAATATTTTCACTAATATAATTTTTCTTTCAATAGTCTGGTAAACTTTCTCAAGGAGTATTGAAGACGTCACGAACTAACTTTCTTGAAGCCAATGTAATGGTAGAAGGTTTAGAAAGGACAATACTGATCCAGGGTCGTCTAAACCTGAACCGTGCATTACATGATGATACTGTAGCTATTGAAATATTTCCTGAAGATCAGTGGTCAGCCCCTTCAACTGTTGTAATTGATCAAGAGAAGCAAGAAGAGGAGAAAGGAGGTTAGAGCCTAAGTTCTATAGTAGAAGTGAGGACTAAACCACACCAGAAGACAAGGAGACGACATTTCAGTCCGTCCTGGACCATTATCAAGTTAATGGTCCAGGACAGACCAAAATGCCATCTCATCTTCTGGTGTTTGGTTTAGTCATATCTTCAGCCACGTTATTGTTACTCATCGTCTGTTTCTGTAGTAGAAGAATGCTTAATCTATTTATTTAACATTCCTTGTTAACACTGGCTATCTGGCCTCTTCATATGTTCCCAACTATAAATATTCTGGGCTTACTAGGCTGCTCAACAATGCATAAAATGTTTACAATAATTTTACGGTTTCTAAGTTATTCGTTGTTACATTGTTATTCGTCATTCATTATTCATCAACATTGGTGTAAAAATGTTTGCAAATGAATTTAAAAGAGAAAAATGCAAAAGCAAGAAATGCTTTTACAATCGCTAATGCTTTTCTCCACACGTTCCCAACAGTAAACATAGTGGGCTTCGCAGGCAGCCCACTATGTTTACCCACCTTCAACTGCGCCTATTGACCATGGTTGTTTCGTCGGTGGTGTGTATGCCAACCAGGGTTGATTTTAAGTCTAGTATAAGATCAAAAATTACCGTGACAACATGCGGTTCACATCAACTTCCTCAAATCTCCAGTAAACGGACACCACCTTGGGAAAAATTGTGAAGAACTGTCTTAGATGAAAGAGCCTCAATACTAACATAGCAGCCATGGGTAGCACGTGCATCAGCAGCTCACAGCTCTGCCATGTAGCTCGTGCTCACTGCATCACTTAATGATGATGAAATAAATAAGTATCTTCAATTATATATTGATGATAGTGGCATAGAAGACCCTGGCAGTGACCTGTCAACCAGTTGATCCACACACACACACACACAGCTGTCCTGGATGGTGGGTCGCCGGCTTCCTCTTCTGGGATTTTGGAGTTTGATCACCTGGTACCTTCCTCACACTGTGCCTTTTACAGATGCCTTGGCTCTCGACTTTATCACAAGCGATTGTCAGGCCGGTCAGAGGCATTGGTTCCCCCTCCTTCATATGGCGCACAGTATGGTGCGGGAGTTTCTGGCTGCGAAGCATGCGCTCTGGAGTATATGGATTCCTCTAGACTCCATTCAGACTGTTCTCCCATGGTTCATTGTCTCAACTGGGGCAGGTGGGGTATTCAGCTTAGTGACCGGTTCTGTTTCCCTGGAGACGTGCTTTTGCAGGGTTTTTTGTTTTGTTTTCCTGGTGGGGATCTGCCTGGTGTGGCTGAAGGACCACTTGTGTGATTTTGGTGGCTCTCCTCTAGGTCCCTATGATTGCATACATTACAGGGGTTCAGCTTTTGTTTGTTTGCTTGTTTTTTTTTTTTTGCTTGGTTTTATTTTTCAAAATAAATTTCATCAAAAAATGCGACTCGACATCCGATGGTGTCGTCGACTTCCGATATTTGTTGGTACACGTTCGGGTCGACCGAGCGCGTGGTTCCCGGTCATGCGGCCGACCTGCCTCAGTTTACTACAGCTGATCGCTTAGTGACGATCGCGCCTATAAGAAATTCCGCTTTTGTGGTGATTTTTTTTTTTGTTTTTTGAACATTAAAGTAATTATTACATATCACGCCATGAGTCCCAGGAAAGTCAGTGGTAAGGCTCAACATATGAAAACCCATGTAAGGATGACCATAGAGCAGAAACAAGAGTACAGAATGTCTTCCTCAACAATTAAGAAAATGTGTGCAGCATGGGAAGAATTGCAAACCTTTGCTGAAACGACTCACCCAAATCAAGCTGCAGTAGATCGTTGCCTTAACCTATTCAATGACACTGTGATGCATCATTACAGACAAATGTTAAAATGAATGGAAAAACAAATGTCTCTTGACAAATTTGTAGTGAGACAAACAAGCACTGAACCACAACCAGGTCCTAGTGGTATTCAGGCAAAACGTAGGAGAGAGAGTACCCCAGAGAAAACATCACTGCCTGATGTGATAATGGAAGGGGATTCCCCTTCTAAACAGTAACAACTCTCCTCCTCCCCCATCACCATCTTCCATATGCCATCAAGAGCCCTCCATGAAGGTAAGAGAAACTTTGGTACTGTATTGTAGTTAGAAAAAACATTGTATTCAGTATAAAATGTATTTGTATGTTAATATTTTGGAGGGTGGAGAACGGATTAAGTCAATTCCCTTTATTTCTTATGGGAAAAATCGCTTCGACTTATGATATTTCGACTTACGATCCGTCTCTGGGGACGAATTAGCATCGTAAGTCGAGGCCCCAATTTGTGTGTGTGTGTGTATACTGTATATATACCGTATATGTACTGTATATATATACTGTATATATACTGTATATATACTGTATATATACTGTATATATACTGTATATATACTTTATATATACTTTATATATACTTTATATATACTGTATATATACTGTATATATACTGTATATATACTGTATATATACTGTATATATACTGTATATATATGTATATATATGTATATATATATATATATATATATATATATATATATATATATATATATATATATATATATATATATATATATATAATATGTATATATATATATATATATATATATATATATATATATATATATATATATATATATATATATATATATATATATATATATATATATATATATATATATATATATATATATATATATATATATATATATATATATATATATATGTCGTACCTAATAGCCAGAACGCACTTCTCAGCCTACTATTCAAGGCCCGATTTGCCTAATAAGCCAAGTTTCATGAATTAATGTTTTTTCGTCTACCTAACCTACCTAACCTAACCTAACCTAGCTTTTTTTGGCTACCTAACCTAACCTTACCTATAAATATAGGTTAGGTTAGGTTAGGTAGGGTTGGTTAGGTTCGGTCATATATCTACGTTAATTTTAACTCCAATAAAAAAAAATTGACCTCATACATAGAGAAAAGGGTTGCTTTATCATTTCATAAGAAAAAATTATAGTAAATATATTAATTCAGGAAAACTTGGCTTATTAGGCAAATCGGGCCTTGAATAGTAGGCTGAGAAGTGAGTTCTGGCTACTAGGTACGACATATATATATATATATATATATAATATATAATAAATATAAAAGTCAACTAATATTATATTTATATATTTATAGCATGTAGTGAAGATGAAAATGGTGATGAAGCAACTCTAAAAGAAGAGCAGGCTCTTCTGGCTTCTGGGAAAGGAGAAGGAGAACGTCAGCCAACGGGTTGTGTTGTTGGCATTATTAGACGGAAATGGAGACAGTATTGCGGTATCATTAAGAAGAATGAAATTGCCGAAGTAAGTGCTTTGTCTTGTGGATAGTATATCAGCCTGTCCTAGTAGCATTTGGGGAAAACAAAACATGTCTTGGACAACATAAGGTTTTGAGGAGAAAGTTACTTCTACTGTCTCCAACTTGTTATTGATAGTTATTTTTTTTTTTCTCTCATTCCATGTTTTTGAGGAGGAAGCCCTTGGTGGTTCCTTGGAGCTAGCCAGCAGGATAACTGCATGTACCATGCCCAAATCAGGCCCTTGCAAATCCAAAAATGCATATGACAGACTAGAATCAGAATTTGGTCAACTGTTTAGAGGCACAGAGTCTGGGGATACTAGAGCAACTCAGACCAAGAGGAAATATAATCAGTAAGATAGAGCATTCCAAAACGCACAACTACTAGGAAAATATTAGTAACTGTTGAAATTTTTTTCTACGCTTACCTCCTCTAGGAGGTGGACCTCAAACATAAAGAACTGCACACTGCAGATATTTCTACTCTAAGCATGAGCCCAATAGAAAAAGGAAAAGCGGGAGCAAACCGCCAGACTTCCACCACAAGGGTGAAAACCTGTCCACTTGGGCTGCTGGTTCCTCCTAGTTAACACTTTCGCGCTCTCGGCGCTCAAAAAAAAACAATACCCCAGATGCTTTCGGCACTTCGCGCGCCTACGCGGTAAGACCGAAAAGTGTACACTCTTTTGACTGTCCTGACAATAATTGAAGGCGCACGTATTTAAATTTGGTATCACTGTGTTCGCAATGAAATTGTCTATAAGAGCATACCTATAAAATGCCGCCCAAGCATAAGGAGTATCAACACCAAATAAAAAACTATGCAGATCACTCGCCGAGAGCGCCAAACAGCAACAAAATGTTTCCACTCTCTTAATGGTTGCGAAGCCTACAGTTGTCCTACATCGCTAATTTTGGTATCATTGGAATCACAATAAAATTCTCTACACGGACATATGCATATGAATGTTTAATATAGGTAATTGCCCACCCGCAAGAGTGTGTGAAGTGGAGAGTAGTTAGCCGTGAGCGCACTGGCGAAAACACAGGGGGGAAATCATGCTTGGAAAGTTTATACGTTTCCTGACCCTACTTTTCTATGTACGTATTTCTTTTTTATACCAATGTGTTCGCAATAAAATTTTCTATAAGATGAACTGTATAACATTTGTACAAAGCATGTGTAAGAGAAGCGCCAAATATAGAACCACGTCGCTCAGTATGCGTTCGCGGCAGAAACGAACGCATTGTTTTCGTTCGTTTGATGTTTGTCTTGTTTATACTTGTTGAAACATTTTATAATTTGTATGACAGTGATCTCAGTAAAATTCCCTACACAGACATATACATAACACATACAAATATTTCCCACGTGTTGGATATATCAACGGCTAAAGGGAACCCACTGCCACACGCTCGCCACACCCCCAAACATACTTTGTGTATTTTTTTTTTTACTCATAGAAGTTTATGTGATATAATATTCATTCTGGTACCAAAACATTCGCAAATAAATTCCCTACAAAACAAAAGTATCCCCATCCATTTCGGTTAAAAAATGGAATTTATAGAAATATTTTTTCGATGGACGAGAAAAGTAGGCTGTTATGCGGAATCGTAAGAGAAAACGGCGACGAGTTATCTCTAATCTAAAGCGCGAAAGTGTTAAAAAAAACATTAAAACCAATAAAAAAAATTATTAAAAAAGATCACATTTACAGACAATTGTATAAAGCAGAACATGGATGGAAAAGAATGGTTGAAGGGTTGACATCAAAGACCGTTTTCTGTAACAAAACAATTTATTAACAAGAGACTAAACTACTACAACATCGAGTTTACGTTACGTTAATGTCCATCCAGTGGCACTATAACAACAGCTACTTAACAACCATGAAATAGCAACAACTCCGGTCCATTGCTGCGTGGCTGAATACTGATCTAACCTGAACACAGTTGTGCCCACTGACGACACAATATTGCAAACAAATATTCGCAAGACTAAGTTTACACAACAGTGAGTGATTCGTTACATTACTATCCATCCAGTGGCACTTGCAAGACAGTTATTCAACAACCCCTCGCACTACGGGCGGATTGATTGAACTGAACAATGGTGCCCACTGATGACACAAGCTTGCAATCAATACTGTCACGGCTTCACGGTGACCAGATACTATAATCACAATCTTGCGGGTCCCCCAGGCGAGATACCCACGTAACTAGGCGGGTAGTCCAACACTGACTCCCCCTATCACAACCTAATGTGAACACTCTTTGCAACTCCCTGCAAGAAGTTGCATCTGTAAACAAAGCTAGGCAAGGTGAGATTCTGAAACACTTCTCCAATAATCCCCAAGTTACTTTACTCTCGTCTCCAGACGATAAACCAAAGAAATTGCCTTAATCAGTTACAAAATTGATTGTGATTAATTATGTTAATTGACTGTCAACAGCAGTCAGCAACAAAGTACGTTTACTTCTATGTTAATCACAAACACTTGTCTCCCTCAGACAACAACATGATGGTACTCTACGTTAATCACCAACACTTGTCTCCCTCAGACAACAACATGATGGTACTCTACGTTAATCACCAACACTTGTCTCCCTCAGACAACAAAATGATGGTACTCTACGTTAATCACCAACACTTGTCTCCCTCAGACAACAACATGATGGTACTCTTCGTTAATCACCAACACTTGTCTCCCTCAGACAACAACATGATGGTACTCTACGTTAATCACAAACACTTGTCTCCCTCAGACAACAAAATGATGGTACTCTACGTTAATCACCAACACTTGTCTCCCTCAGACAACAACATGATGGTACTCTACGTTAATCACCAACACTTGTCTCCCTCAGACAACAACATGATGGTACTCTACGTTAATCACCAACACTTGTCTCCCTCAGACAACAACATGATGGTACTCTACGTTAATCACCAACACTTGTCTCCCTCAGACAACAACATGATGGTACTCTACGTTAATCACCAACACTTGTCTCTCACAACAAGCCAACTTGTTAACAATAAGTCAAAGCCTCTTAAATTACATCACACTTGACTCCATCAAGCATTCAGTGAGTAATTCCTAATTAATGTCAAACGGACAATTAATTAAATCCAGATCGAGTTACGTTAACTAAGCCTACCACTATCTTGGTAGCTTCTCAACAGTCTGTCAAACTTTACTTTAATGAGCATTAATTACCCTAATTAACCCCGAGCAATTAATTAACTGTCACCAGGACTGATAAGTAATTATACATAAATACGTCTCACTCTACATTGCCTAAGCAGGTTTCATCAAACACTGTGAATTCACGGACGAGGTGTTAATTACCCTAATTAACATAAGTGCATCTTAATCCACTGTCACCAGACAGGATATGATTAATTCAACGAGTTACACTAGCTCCATGACCTCGCTTTACCGAGTCATCAAGACCTTTGACGTTAATTACTCCACTAATTATCATGAGCCACTAATTGCTGTACCACAGACAGGTAATTAGTCTCGAGCAAATTACGTTAACACAAATACTGTCGGACCTTCACAGTTCCTCCCCACTATGTAAATTCATGATGAGAATGCTAATTACACAATTAGCTAGCATGGTCAATTAGTTGTCACATGGACAATTAATTGCACCTGAAACGTATCTCAAGCTCAGCACTGTTTCCCTTAACAGCTCCCCTTCATTAAGTAATGTGCAACCCCTTATAATGTCAATTACCTCTTAATTAACTCTCACTGAATCCTTAAGTCATGAACACAACTTAAAGAAACACAAAGTAACCCCAGGTTACATAGGTCACACTCTCACAGGCATAACAAAAGAACTGTCACAGCCCTCTGCAACACGTTAATTACTGTACCACCACAGTAATGACACTCGGTTTGGCAACAACAAAGTATACCTACATTACTGCCCCCTAATCTTGCAACAGTTGCAAGGAACTACTGTGTGGAATCACTACTTTAGCAAAACAATTTTACGTTAACTCAAGACATCGTTGCTACCCTGACAGCTGGCACTAATTCTCATAATTAGGCAGATTAACCAAACAATTGCTTGCTCTCATTAAGTACTGTGAATTCCCCTGATTAATTAAAGGGACCTCCTTAAATTATCAACACAGCTCCTAGGGCAGTAATATAACGTACACAAACATCAACACTGCCCAAACACACAACATACGGATGTCATCAGCATACCCCACATGCTAATGACATCACTATACAATCAGTCGGCAATACCGATTACTGACTCGCCACACAACACCAATATATGCATATGAAAACACATGGGAATGGTACACACTAAACAATGATAATAAATTTAATAGCTTACCCTTCATGCATTACAACAACATAAAATTATACACACACACACACCCCCCCCCTCCCCCCCATCCCCCCCGGGTGTGAGAAGAGCAGCTGAGAAAAGGTATGAAAATGATATAGCTAATAAAGCCAAGACCGAACCAAAGCTACTACACAGTCACATCAGGAGGAAGACAACAGTGAAGGAACAGGTGATGAAACTTAGGGTGGGCGAGGACAGGTACACAGAATGACAAAGAGGTGTGTGAAGAACTCAACAAAAGGTTCCAGGAGGTCTTTACAATAGAACAGGGAGAAGTCACGGCACTAGGAGAGGTAGCAGCAAACCAGGTGACCTTGAAAAGGTTCGAAATTACAAGAGATGAGGTCAAGAAGCACCTATTGGAGCTGGATGTGAGAAAAGCTGAATCTGAAAGCTGAATATATGGAATCTCGCCATATATACTCACCGGATGGAGTATTGAAAGAGTGTGCAGGAGCACTTTGCTTGCCACTCTCCATAATGTATAGTAGGTCACTGGAAACGGGAGACCTACCAGAAATATGGAAGACTGCTAATGTAGTACCAATATACAAAAAGGGTATATATTGACAGGGTGACAGACAAGAGGCACTGAACTACAGGCCAGTGTCCTTAACTTGTATACCATGCAAGGTGATGGAGAAGATTGTGAGAAAAAACCTAGTAACACATCTGGAGAGAAGAGACTTCGTGACAACCCATCAACATGTGTTCAGGGAGGGTAAATCTTGCCTTACAGGCTTGATAGAATTCTACGATCAGGTGACAAAGATTAAGCAAGAAAGAGAAGGATGGGCGGACTGCATTTTTTTGGACTGTCGGAAAGCCTTTGACACTACCCCATAAAAGGTTGATGCATAAGCTGGAGAAACAGGCAGGAGTAACTGGTAGGGCGCTCCAGTGAATAAGGAAGTACCTAAGCAATAGGAAGCAAAGAGTTACAGTGAGGGGTGAGACCTCAGAATGGCGTGAAGTCACCAGTGGAGTCCCACAGGGCTCTGTGCTTGGACCTATCCTGTTTCTGATATATGTAAATGATCTCCCAGAGGGTATAGACTCATTCCTCTCAATGTTTGCTGGCGACGCCAAAATTATGAGAAGGATTAAGACAGAGGACAGCTTGAGGCTTCAAGAAGACCTGGACAAGCTGCAGGAATGGTCGAACAAATGGCTGTTAGAGTTTAACCCAAGCAAATGTAATGTAATGAAGATAGGGGTAGGAAGCAGGAGACCAGATACAAGGTATCATTTGGGAGATGAGATACAGTACTTCAAGAGTCAGAGAGAGAGAAAGACCTGGGGATTGATATCACGCCAGACCTGTCCCCCTGAAGCTCATATCAAGAGGATAAAATCAGCAGCATATGCCAGGTTGGCTAACATAAGAACGGCCTTTAGAAACTTGTGTAAGGAATCTTTCAGAACATTATATACCACATATGTCAGACCAATCCTGGAGTATGCAGCTCCAGCATGGAGTCCATATCTAGTCAAGCATAAGACTAAACTGGAAAAGGTTCAAAGGTTTGCCACCAGACTAGTACCCGAGCTGAGAGGTATGAGCTACGAGGAGAGACTACGGGAATTAAACCTCACTTCGTTGGAAGACAGAAGAGTTAGATGGGACATGATCACCACATTCAAGATTCTCAAGGGAATCAACAGGGTTGATAAAGACAGGTTATTTAACACAAGGGGCACACGCACTAGGGGACACAGGTGGAAACTGAGTGCCCAAATGAGCCAGAGATATTAGAAAGAACTTTTTTAGTGTCAGAGTGGTTGACAATTGGAATACATTAGGAAGTAATGTGTTGGAGGCTGACTCCATACACAGTTTCAAGTGTAGATATGATAGAGCCCAATAGGCTCAGGAACCTGTACACCTGTTGATTGACGGTTGAGAGGCGGGACCAAAGAGCCAGAGCTCAACCCCCGCAAGCACAACTAGGTGAGCGCGTGCTCACCTAGTTGTATGTGCTAAAGGGTCACATCTTGACCCTTTAGCAAGGTCCTGGTGTGACTCAATAGCCATGGCAGTATCCAAAGCAGCCAGCAACAGGGAGCCACGGAGCCACCAAGGTCCCATCTGACAGAGGCACTTCAGCACATTTACTCTTATTTTAACACCATTTTCATAACTCGTGTGGGCATTGGACTGCCTCTTTGTACATGTCTTCTTTGATGGTGGTAATAAATTGAAATATGAGTGATGTTTATTATGTGGTGTCTGTGGCAGAAATATAGGGCGACTTAAATTCTGTTTGAAAGACGTCTCTCTTAACAAAATTCTGTACGGTATAAATAAATAATGAAGCACTTCATTGATTTTATACTGATAACATTTGCTTGAGTCATACAACTAGTATATTAAAAGGTCTCGCCATTAAAAGATGTGGTCCCAAGCTATTAACTTGAAATGTTTGACCTCACTTAGCTGTATTATATTGTATAGAGCAGTAAAAATTATTAGTGTTGTGTGTTGACAATTTCATTCTTGCAGTCAATGCGGCACTTGTTCATCCCAGCTGATAAGAAGATTCCATTCATACGTATTGAGACAAGACAGCCTGATTTGCTGTATGATAAAAGAATAATTGTTGCCATTGATTCTTGGCCGAGAGATTCGAGAAACCCTAAGGTAAGACATTATTTGGAGTTAATGTAATTTAGCTTAAAACAGTTTTAAATTTGATGTCTTGTAGTACAACTAATAGAATGGAGGAAAATCCTGATAAATTATTCTAAAATAATTGTAATCGTCTAACTTTGGATTTTTATTCTCTTAAGGATATTATTGAACAAGAATATTAACAAGTCTAAATATATTACAAAAAAAGTGAAAGTAATGCATTATACATACATGGACATTATCTAGTCAAGCTCTCACGTTACTTCATCAAGTAACCAAATTTATATGCTGGTAAATTGATTGTGAAAAGTAGCAAAAAAAATATAAGTCCTGTATTGTACAGTAATGTCTATATTAACTAATTCTGTAATAAGAAATGCCAAAATGATGATAAAAAAATATTTTTTTCTGTGGGGGAACCCCTACAGTTTCCTGGAGCTATGAGGCTGATGTGTGTTATAATAGTCTGGGGCATCAGTCAGTTGGAGTTCAGCTTACCGGGGATCATGAACCTGGACCCCTCAGAGAGGTAAAGGGAGCAATGGCCTATAGAAACCCCAATGTGGTTGAGGGCATTCTCTGTCTGCCATCGACTAGGGTTAGGTCGATGCAGGCACCAAGAAAGGTAGGCATGATAAAACAAACTCCACTTGCTAAGAAAATGCGACCGAAAGCCTGACCAGGAGACAGAACTCGCTCTACAACTTGAGGAAACAAGCAAACATCACACCTCACCGCCACGCTGATTGTCCACGCAGCTTCCCTCCCCCACCCTTTCCCTTGGTATAAGTGGGAGGGGGGAGCGCCGGATGCCCTGTGCTGGCAACCCAAGCCATCCAGTTCATTGGCTGATGTGGTCTGGGGTGGACATTGACTCTGGCCTCAGATTTCAGTGGAGTTGTGTGCTGTAGTGGTGTGTTTCTGCTATGTCTGAGGCATGGTGGTCAGGTGTACATTGAATAATACTGAGACTGCATGCGCTCAGGGTTCTCTTCCCTGGGCACCCTGTAAGTACTACTCTTGGGTTCCAGGGTTACCTTCCATAGAACTTTCAGGAACCTCTTCTGTAAGGATTTTTGTGACTTCTGTTTGGCCTTGGGTAGGAAGTGGTATCATTTATTGGTAGGGGCACAAGGTACTGCACAGCTCGCCTAACTATGAGGCGGCTGGTTTCTGTTCCTTCTGGAGACATTGTCCCTTTGCAAGGTTTTTCTTTTATTTTTGTTTTCTTGCCTAAAGGGGGTCTGCCTGGTTTGGCTATTGGTCCCCCTTCTGTTGTTTGGGTGGCCTTCCTCTAGGCCCCCATGATTGGACACCTTGCAGGGGGTTCAGCTTTAGCAGATTCCCTTGTTAGTTTCGGCCCAGCTGTTTTGCACCCGTTTTCTACCTTGCCTGGGCTTCCCGTAGCAATCGGCCTGTGGGCCCTGGAAATTCCCATTGGGGCTCATTAAACCTATGAATGTGTCTTCTGAGTTCCACCTCGCCTCACGCGAGTTTGAAGGTTGCTGTGTGCCCTTGTCTCAGGGTGACAGTTTTTTACCTCTGTCATGCTGCCTGTTGGGTCAACGACACCTTTGACCCCGAGTCTTGAGTCGTGCTCACTGCTTGTTCTCCAATTTACTCATTCTGGTGACATCGATATTCGGGTTCAGGCAGCGTCCGCATTGCATGCTCATTTTAGGTTGTTGCAACATGCTATGTTAGTTGTCTACCCGGATGCCCTGTTTTGGTAATAGGAATTTGGACCTGGAGGGGTGTTAGTTGCTTCGACTTTGGTTCAGTCCACACTTGTCATCTTGTTCATCCTGTTACCCCTCCCCTGCTTCCGACTCCCAAACGTGTGAGGGTTTCAGTGTCGGGGCAGGGTTTAGTTGGTAATGAGACTCGGGCTGCTCCATTGGGGTTAAGGATGGAAGCATTTGAGCTGGTTCCTCCTGCCGAGGCTTCTGGGTCCCACCTGCAGGCCTCCCTTCTTTTCTGCCTTTCCCCTGGACTCTGCCTTTTCTTCAGGGGTAGAGAAAGGGAAAGGACTGCTCTGCCCTGGGTCCTGGTTTGGAGGATTCCGGGGTTGGGGAGGAGTTTTCCTGGGGGGTTTGGGCCCCCTTTGACACCGCTTGGGTGTTGGTACCTTCTTTGCAGGGGCTTGTTGCAGGGGGGAACAGTTTTCTTACCCCCTTCCCTGTATGAGTATGAATTGGGGTCGGCTACTCCCCAGGTTCTGTTCCGGGTTCCCTTGGGTTCCTCAGCTCCCTCTTTCCGGAGGTTTTCTGCCTCTCGTATCTACTCTGAAGGAGGTGCACCTTACCTTGAGGTGTTTTCGGGGCTTCGCGACCCCGCGGTCCAGTCCTCGATCAGGCCTCCTGGTTGCTGGACTGGTTAACCAGGCTGTTGGACGCAGCTGCTTGTAGCCTGACGTACGAGTCACAGTCTGGCTGATCAGGTATCCTTTGGAGGTGTTTATTAAGTTCTCTCTTGAACACTGTGAGGGATCGGCCAGTTATGCCCATTATATTCCTTATTATCTTCGTTACACACCAAAAATAATATGATGTTTAATGAAGATATGTTCTAGCTCATGCGTTACAGGAAAAGGAAAATATCAAAATGGAAACCATGTACAAAACACAGTCAAATCATAACATAGAACGAAAAGGCAATGTAAAGGATTTGGGTGTACTCATGTTGGAAGACGTTACCTTTAAAGAACACAATAAAGTAGCCGTCACAACTGCAAGAAAAATGACAGGTTGGATAACAAGAACCTTTCACACTAGAGACGCTATACCGATGATGATACTTTTCAAGACGCTAGTGCTCTCTAGAGTGGGGCTGTTATTGTGCTGCACAATGACAGCCCCTTTCAAAGCTGGAGAAATTGCTGACCTGGAGAGCATGTAGAGAGATTTTACTGCTAGAATCCACTCAGTAAAGCATCTAAACTATTGGAACCAACTAAAGAGCCTAAATCTGAATTCTTTTGAGCACAGGCTGGAGAGATATATAATAATTTACACGTGGAAAGGGGTTGGTAGAGGGGCTGGTCCCAAACCTGCACACAGAAATAACATCACAAAGAGACCAGAAGGCATGGCAAGATGTGCAGAATACCCCTGTTGAAGTGCAGAGGTGCAACAGGTACTCTGAGAAAGAACTATCAACATTAGAGGCCAGTGGGTCTGCTCGCCAGGTGTGTGGTTCTTTAACTGCTTGCCAGGTTCGAGTTCCTGGTGAGCTGGAGGTAGTCCCATCTGGTTCCGTCCCAGGTTCGGACCTGGCTGGGGTCTTGTGTGGAACTCTCAGACCTTTCCTTGTCTCTCTCTGGAGTCGTTGCTGCAGTCCTGCCTTCAGCTGTTTCTGGGGGGTCCAGGGTCACTTGGTGGTATCTCAAGCAGTTGTGCGGGAGTCTGAATTTCACCATGTGGATTTACCCGCTGGGTTGGGTCTGGCATTGACACTTGTTCTGGTTCCTTTGGGGTCCTCCCGTATGCCTCTCTCGTGGTTTGGCCTCCAGGGGCCTAGCATCTGTTGCTGTGTCGTCAGCTTCCTCTTTTGGTTTTTCATGGTTCAGTGCCTTGGCGCCTACCCGAGCCCTTGCTCAATGTGTTCACGGATGCCTTGTCTCTCGGTTGGGGTTTTGTGACCAGTGTTCACCAGGCCAGTCAAGGGAGATGGGGTTTATCCTTTTGTCGTGCTCACAGCATGTTGCAGGAGTTCGTGGCAGTTTGGCTGTCGCTTCAGAGGGTTCTTGTCACTTTGGGGTCGACGATCCGACTATTTGAACTGTTCTCCAGTAGTTCATTGCCTGAACCACCGAACATCTCTTCGGTTCTCTCAGGGGTTCTGACTCGTCTGCTGGATTCTCGGAGTATGGCTCTCCAGGCAGTTCATATCTGGGGAGTGTCCAACGTCCTGGCAGGCAGCCTGTCCAGGTTCATTACTCTGTCCACGGAATGGACGGTTGACACCGACCCCTTCAGTTGGGTAGAGTAGTCCTTTACCTACTTACCATTACGAGGTGAGAGTAGGTTTTAGGTGCTGGTCACTCGATGTACTAACCCGCAATGTTTTCTGAGGGTCCGCCTCTCTCAGCAGATCGGTCTGGTCAGGTACCTGGCTGGTTTGGTCTTCTCTTACACTCTTTGCATCTGGTCTTTCTGATGTGGGTCTATCACCATTTGTATGGTCATCAGGTGGCTTAGTTGATATTGTCCCACCTGCAAGGTTTGTCTCGGTGACAGTATGTAGTTTTCTGGCGTTCTTTCTGCCATTTTCTCTCTTCATAGATTGTCTTCTGTTTCTGATCGTGTTGTCTTTTCCTTTCTTTCTTCCTTTCTTGACTTTTTCAGGACTTGTCATTTAATTCCAAATACAAATGCGACGCTGGCAGAGCCACTCCTGCTTGCGTTCGGGGTGAATGTCACTTCGGCCCTGTTTCGTAAGCTTTATCGTGCTTAGTTTTACCTCCGGGCTACTCATACGGCACCTGAATCGTCCTCAGAGAGGGCGCTCACTTGTCTATCTTCACCTCTGTGGTGGCTTCTATGGTTCAAGATTTTTTTTCCAAGGCTCTCTTTCTGTTGGCATTGGCCTCTGAGGGTCGGGTTAGTGAGCTTCCTGCCCTCCTCTGATGCAGGACTTTCTGCTCTTTTGGTCCTGGTGGTAGGTTTGTTTGGTTGCAGCCGTCTCCTTTTTTTCTGTCTAAGAATGAGACAAGCTGCTTTCTGAAGGGGTCCTTGGGTTATTGATGCTTGGTTGGTCAGGCCAGGGGTGCATCATGTGTTGTGTCCGGTTGCGGCTCTTCATTGTTACTTGCACACCTTGGCTTCTGCTGCTGAGGATTCGCTTTGGGTTGATTCGGTATCACAAGTTCCCTGTTCCAGGGCTCGGGTCTTCCAGGTCCTCCGCAGGGTCATTAAAATCTAGCCAGCCTATCCTAGTCTATCCTCTTGCCCACAACGTTCGTGAGTTTGCTGCTTTGACTGCCGTCTTCGGCAATATGTCCTGGGCTGACATCTGGGCGTGAGGATTTTGGAGGTGGAAAAGGATCCTGGCCGCACCTTATCTCATCTACGTTCCTGATCCTAGTCGTCCATGTGTGGCTTTTTGTCGCAGGTTGCAGCCAGTTGAAGAGCGAGTACCATCTGCCTACCGGGTTAGTACTTATTTTCTTCTCTTTGGTGATGTAGGTCCAGGAAGCTGTAGGGGGCTTCCCACAGAAAACCAGCGTTGAATGTAATGAAACACCATTTTCGTTGTGAGCCCTGGAGGCTCCCGGCAACCCTCTCTCCAGTTGGCAGTTCCGTTTCATTTTTTGATGCTCAGCCTCAAAACTGGATGGTTTGGGTAGTCAGCGTTGAGGGGTCAGCGGTAATGTGTGGCGTTTCCTTGTTTGCTTGTTTCCTGAAGTTGTAGGGTGAGTTTTGCCTCCCAATTCGGTTTGCGGTCACATTTTCTTACCAAGTGGATTTGTTTTGTTATGCCTACCTTTCTGCGGGTGCCAACCCCGGTCAATAGCAGACATGGAATGGCCCCAAACCACTTGGGGTTTTTCGTATTTGCCTCTCTGAGGGGGCAAGGTTCTGGCTTGGGGTGCCTGGTAAGCTGAACTCCAATTGACTGATACCCCAGACTAATATGAAACATCATCCTGATAGCTCCAGGAAGCCTCTGGGGCTTACCCAAAAAAGGGCATTTCATTACATTTAACGCTGGCTTTTTTAGGGTCACTTTGTTCGTGTGATTGGGACGGTTGGAGACAAAGATGCCGAAAATGAAGTGATTCTTTTAGAACACGATTGTCCTTATACCAAGTTTTCTGAGTCAGTCCTGAACTGCCTTCCAAAGATGCCATGGGTAGTCACAGAAAAGGTTAGTTGCTTTTGTTTAATGTGTTAATTATTTTATTTTATTTTATTTTATATTGATATTTAGCTGAATTGAGCTAAAAAGAGAAGTAAAATTTTCACCTTTAGAAAACCTGTTCTTGTAATAACTATTTTTTTTCATGGATAATCCTGCGCAGGCCCTAAGCCTCTAGCTGGCCACTAAGTGTTGCTTGTTTCTGTTTTATTTAGGTGAAGTATGAGTATTTATGACTCGTATGGTTGTTTTAGTAAGATTTTGCCCCATGTGGTTAACACCAACAACTGCTCTGTTGAATCAAAGTTTAAATCTTAATGGGTTTGTAATGCTGCACTGTGTTAGATAATGTTCCAATGGTCTGTTGTGAATTTCTCCACAGTACTGACATTTCCTCTTATCTTCTGGAACCTGTAAACTTATTTCCCATGCACATGGGTATCCAAGTCTGATGCGATGTAAGTGTACATCTGTAGTTCTATTGCTCCATTTCATCAAAATAAGTGGTTCGTAGTTGGTTGAATTCTTGTACCTACCCACAGATCCTGATATTGCAACTGCTGTGTTGTGGTCATTACATCTTTTGTATTGCCTTATTTCTAATTACTTTCTTAATCTGTGATATACTCTGTGGTATGTAAATATCTACATTTCTTCTCTTAGTTGCCAGTCTTGCAGCTTTGTCTGCCATGTCATTTCCTATTATTTCCACGTGACTTGGCACCCAGTTGATAAGTACCTGACGGCTTGGACGTTTGAGTGTTTGCATTAATGATATGACATTTGTGATCAGATGAATGTTGTCACGTATGTGTTCTTGTTGCAAGTTTTTTGTGGCAGTTCTCTAATTTGTATGTATGTTGACATGTTGTTGGTGAAGAGCATGTTCCAAAGCCTTTTGAATGGCTAGCATCTCTGTTTGTAAAGTTGAACATCTGTTTGAGAGTCTCTATTTATTAACTATTTACAGAGTTTCCTGCCTTAACTTAGCTCCAGTTTCTTGTCCCAGCTGATCTACTGATCCAACTGTAAAGTATGTGAAGCTGTCAGATGCCAAGTTTGCTTCTGTGTGCATCTGTGCAATATTACGTAGCAGATGAGGATTAGTTTGATTTTTTTCCTTCAAGACCCATAATCTTAAAGTCTACTGGCAGAGATTCTGAAGGGGCTTGCATAACAAAGTCTGCATGGATTTTGTCGACACCGCTCTCAGTGACTGTATTGGTTATATCCGAATGAATTGATGGTGTTTATTGCACAATGGGTTCACCTGTTGCTATTGGAAGTTCTTCTGTCTCGAGTTAGTGCTTCAGTGGTTATATCTTTAACCACTGCACTGCGCCAAATGACAAATGCTGTTCGCTCATTACTGTGCCAACCTACACAGGTATTTTTTATTTTTTTGTACACGGTCAAAATGCGCTCACGATAGGTTGGGTACAAAATGGCCTCTTGGGACCTTCAGTGAGAGGCAGCCATCTTGGAAAAAATTCACAGAATGTCCTAGGGCTGCTGGCTGGGTTAGTACCGAGTGAGCAACCATGGGTGGTGTACGTGCCTCTGGCTCCCAAACTACTGTCCAACGCAGTGTTGAAAGATCGCTCTCTGTCGGTGAAATTCAGACCTTATTGCTTGAAGAACATAAGGGTCATGATATTGAAGGACCTAACAATAAGAACCTAACACAAAGGTCGGATGCAAGTGATACAACACCTATTAGGACAATACAGTGAGCGTATCCAGTTGTAGCTCTGAGCGCCACCCTTGCCCACCTATGCCTCCAATTATATAGATATACAATGGGGCCTCGACTTACGATGCTAATTCGTCCCCAGAGACGGATCGTAAGTCGAAATATCATAAGTTGAAGCAATTTTTCCCATAAGAAATAAAGGGAATTGAATTAATCCGTTCCCCACCCTCCAAAATATTAACATACAAATACATTTTATACTGAATACAATGTTTTTTCTAACTACAATACAGTACCAAAGTTTCTCTTACCTTCATGGAGGGCTCTTGATGGAATATGGAAGATGGTGATGGGGGAGGAGGAGAGTTGTTATTGTTTAGAAGGGGAATCCCCTTCCATTATCACATCAGGCAGTGATGTTTTCTCTGGGGTACTCTCCTACGTTTTGCCTGAATACCACTAGGACCTGGTTGTGGTTCAGTGCTTGTTTGTCTCACTACAAATTTGTCAAGAGACATTTGTTTTTCCATTCATTTTAACATTTGTCTGTAATGATACATCACTTTAGCACCCATAATGTCATTTTTCTTAGCTAGTATGGTGGATATCATTGACTGAGATTTGTTGTACTGCCTAGCCAGTTCACCTACCGGCACACCATCTTCATATTTACTAATGATCTCTTGTTTCTGCTCTATGGTCATTCTTACATGGGATCTCATATGTTGAGCCTTACCATTGAGCCGGTCGGCTGAGCGGAGAGCACGCGGGAGTTGTGATCCTGTGGTCCCGGGTTCGATCCCAGGCGCCGGCGAGAAACAATGGGCAGAGTTTCTTTTACCCTATGCCCCTGTTACCTAGCAGTAAAATAGGTACCTGGGTGTTAGTCAGCTGTCACGGGCTGCTTCCTGGGGGTGGAGGCCTGGTCGAGGACCGGGCCGCGGGGACACTAGAAAGCCCCGAAATCATCTCAAGATAACCTCAAGATAACCACTGACTTTCCTGGGACATATGGCGTATTATATAATAATTACTTTAATGTTCAAAATGTAAAAAATCACCACAAAAGCGGAATTTCTTATAGGTGCGATCATCACTAAATGGGTAGCTGTAGTAAACTGAGGCAGGTCGGACTGCGTGACCGGGAACCACGCGCTCGGCCGACCCGAACGTGTACCAACAAATATTGGATGTCGACGACACCATCAGATGTCGGGTCGCATTTTTCGATGAAATTTATATCGTAACTCGAAATTATCGTAAGTAGGGGCAATCGTATGTCAAGGTGCCACTGTACTTATATCTCCAATTTATATAGATGATACATAGATGAATTGTTTTCTGGGTTCAGTGATGATGCATCTGTCACAAGTAGCATAGATGAACAGTGTTAGCGGCTTCCATGGTGGTGTTTTCCATAGATATTTTCAAGAATAGCTGAATCTTCCAGAATGGCTGAATCTCTTACAGATTGACTGACACTCTCCGAAAATGACTGAATCTCTTTGTAAGTCAGGGACCTTACAAAGCAAGCTTTTCCTATAATCTTTTCAAGACTTCCTTGTGCTTTACAAGCTTGGCTATATACTACCTACAAGTACTAAAGCCAAGGGTGTACGTGAGTGCATTATTTGCAAGCACATAGAACGAAGAAACAGGAAGTGAAAATCTATCTGTATCTGGTGCAACGAGAGCGAAGTCGTGCTGTGTACCATGGACTACTTCATTGATTATTACTCACTTTAATTATTACTACTTGAAGTACTGAGTGTGTAAACAGTGTGTGAAACTGTACATATTGTAATTTTAGTGAATTTTTAACAAGTAATATTGCGAAAATAAGCATTTGCTGTCCCGTCTTGAGTACTGCTCAGTACTCACTTTCCCCTTCAGAGCAGGAGAGATGCTGAAATAGATGGAATGCAGAGAACATATACGGCATACATAGACGCAGTAAAGCTTCTAAATTATTGGGATCGTCTCAAAGCTCTCCAAATGTACTCGCTAGAAAGAAGACGAGAGAGATATCAAATAATATACACGTGGAAGATACTGGAGGGCCAAGTACCAAATCTACACAGTAAAATAACAACATACTGGAGTGAACGATATGGAAGAAATGTAGAATAGAACCAGTGAAGAGCAGGGGTGCCATAGGCACAATCAGAGAACACTGTATAAACATCAGAGGTCCACAGTTGTTCAACATCCCCCCAGCGAGCATTAGAAATATTGCCCGAACAACTGTGGACATCTTCAAGAGAAAATTAGATCATTTTCTCCAAGGAGTGCCGGACCAACCAGGCTGTGGTGGATATGTGGGCCTGCGGGCCGCTGCAAGCAACAGCCTGGGGAGTGAACTACTCCCAGACCAAACTCTCACACATGTCAAGTTCCTGGCCTCGTAAAGGCAAATATGGGCTTGGTGGAGTGAAGAATAACTCCCAGAACCCCATCAACCAGGATTTCATGCGAACAGGGGGAATGTCACAATAAACTTGACGCATCACAGTGGTTAAGTAAACTGATGATATTGATATTGTGTTACCCACTGAAGGTTAATGTCTTGAATGCGTAGGTGCCTGTCTGGAGTGTTGCTACCTAGTCTCATTGCCTTAGACTTCTGTGCATGTATTTTTTAGCCCTAAAATGCTACATTCAGATGTTACTTTTATCTGACACCCTTTGTGCTTTATTTAGAAGTGAAAGGACCTGTAATGACAAATGCTATATCATCAGCATAGCTTAGCAATTTAACCCATTCTGCAAATGTCATAGTAACGAGTTTTTTTTTTTAGCTGAAGTTTTGATTATACTATAGGTATAAATAGATTATCAAACTGAGAGATATATTGGAAGTTAAACATACACTGTATCTTTTTGTAGGATGAGGCAGAGCGTGAAGATTTAAGACATTTAGATATTTGCTCTGTTGATCCTATTGGCTGCACAGACATTGATGATGCTCTGCACTGTCGAAGGCTTCCAAATGGTAATTTTGAGGTTAGTAACATTCACAGTTGTGTATTCAGTTTTATTTATTTGTATTGATACACAGATGGAATGAATGTGTACACACATCTGATACACACATTTAGATGTAATCTTCCTAAAAGAAATTATTTACTATAGAAATTTAGTAATATGTATAATTATTGTATATGTAAATATATATTTTTGTTCCAAGTACTTTTCTTTGCTGTATAAACTATCTGGCTGTTTATTGTTATCCCAGCTGAAGGTGAAGGAAAGACCCAATATATGTGTAAGTGTATTAAAAAAAAAAATTTCAGATGTAATCTTATTTTTCCTTCAAAACATTGTATACAGCACCTTGAGAAAAGATGTATGTTACATCTGAAAATTTGTTTTTGTAACCCATAAACTGCTCAGCATAAGGGGCCATAATTAAAAAAATATTCAAATTATGTAAAAATTACATAAAAATTATAAAAAATCTCCAACTTATTGGCTTCAGCATCGTGGAACTTTCATCAAAATATTTTCAGAAATTGATTTTAGACGAATATTAAAAAAAAAAAGTTTTGTTGATATGGAGAACAGCTCCTATTAACCCCTTAACTGTGCAGCCTCCAAATATAGCCCCCCCCCTTCCAGTGTGCAGGAAATAAAATCTCTGGAAAAAATTCTTTTCTGTTTTTAAAGTGTCAAAAACCCTTCCCTGAATAAGGGCATAGTAACAGAATGTCGAAATTGTAAATACTTAAGCTGCTATGGGGTCTGTAAGTTTGTGCGTGACGTCGTCATTCCCTGGTTGCCCATGGCATACGCCCCCGGGGCCGGTAGGGCGCTTGGGGCAGGTTGCGCGAGTTGCCGTGAATATATTTATGTTCATTTTAGTTCCAAATACATTTTATATGCTTTTACGTGCCAATCCTATGTACAGTATAATGAACACGTACACTATATTATGGCAGTAGAACATCCGTACTCTCCAAAGACACTGTGTTACGTGCATGACACATGTGTACACATATCCTGCACATATTTCCATTGTATTATGCTAATTTATGTATATATACAGTTTATTTACACACTATACACTATCACACACTACTGTATATACATTCGCCATGAACTCACTCAGAACTCTGCGAATGTCAGCTGCCACACCCTCACTCCTCCAACATCCAGTCTCTCCCTCACTCCTCCAACAACTTACTCGCCAACATTGCTCCTCCCACCATACTGTTATTGTTTGTATTACACTATTTACACATGTTATGTATACCTATCTACATGTTTTATTCACCAGAACTATGTAAGTAAGCCGGTATTGTGTCCAAACTTTACAGTGGCCACCATACACTGCATGAGAAATCACACAGCAGTCAGCAGACAATGCTATGATTACGTCACCTCCCTCACCAAAATAGCTCCTCCCAACATACTCCTGTTGCTGTTACTACACTATATACACACATTGTATATACCCATGTACAAATGTGTTCACCATAGCGAACCACTAAGCTCGTATGATGAGCAAAACAAGAGTGGCTGCCACACAGTGAGGCTACCTCAATTTTCTCCCTTGCTCCCTCACCACAATTACTCCTCCCACAATACTACGCACAGTGCTTATTATCACCACAATTCTGCTGTTATCACAATACTAGTCACAAAATCCTGTAAATACATAATTGACCACAAGTTTATTTTGTAAAGGAACCTAAGAAGTCACACTGCTCCTCTTACTTCTAATGCTGCTGGTGTCTACTCTATTTCCTGTTCGTCTTGTCCTCTCCAATTCTTTGGCGAAACTGGCCGTACACTGAATGACAGACTTAAAGAACACAAGATAAGTGTTAAATCTGCAGACACTAACAATGCTCTCTTTTGTCATGTGAGGGATTCCAATCATCCTATTGATTGGTCTTCCTCCAAAATAATCTTTCCTGCCTCTACTCTACATAGATGCCGTCTTGTTGAATCGGCTCTAATACACAATGTACCCAACATGAACTTGAGTCCTGGCTTTGTTGCTGTGGACTCTTCCCTTTCACAGTATATACTTAAATGCTCTAATCTTTCTAACAAACGTGACCTAACATAGCTTACCCTTCCATTTTTCTTTCTTTCTCTTTCCTTTTCTTTCTCTCTTCTCTCTTTTGTTCTTTATTTTCTTTACGTTCCCTTACTATCCTCTTCTTATTCCTATTACTATTTCCTTCTCATTCGGCCCTCTGCAGTTCCTACTCTATCTCCTCTACTACACGTTGCTCCTCACCTCTCTCTAGCCTATTTATTGCCTGCATCTACTTCCTCATCACAATCGACTTGAGAATGGTCCAGGACGGACTGAAACGTCGTTGACCCTTCACTTTCTAGTGTGTGGTCTGGTCAACTTACTTTAGCCACGTTATTGTGACTCATCGCCTGCAACCTAAGAAGTCGTTTGAAGATTCCTAGATGGACGAAATAATGCTGTGGTGCTGTGGCTAGCGCTGTGAACATTGTGAACCGCATTGAATCACTAATATTTGAACATTGTACACAGTCATTATCACACTCAGGCTCTTCTGTAATACTATCATGACTAAATAATACAAGTTATATATATATTTTGACATTATTAGGCGATTCTGTGGTCACAAGCTGAACAGCAGTGCTGTGAGTTCATGCTGCGTGCGCCGGCCTTGATGGCTCTCTCGCTACTGAGGCTCTCACACCTGGGAATGTGGACCACAAATTTTCTGTGGGGAGCCTCTACGGCTCCCTGGAGCTTATCGGGCTAATGTATGTTATATTAGACCGGGACATTAGCTAAGGAGATCAGACCTACCAGGGACCAGTGCCAGAACCTGGCCCCTTCAGAGAGGTTTCAGGGAGCAATGGCCCTGGAAAACCCCCTTGTAGTTGGGGTTTTCCCTATCTGTCATCGACCGGGGTTAGGCACCCAGAAAGGTAGGCATAACAAAACAAACCCCACATGGTAAAAAACTAAAACAAAAAACCGAACAGAGAGGTAGAAACTCCTTACAATCCTAAGGAAACAAGCAAACATTACACTTTACTGCCGCGCCGATCGTCCGCGCAGCCCTCCCCGCTCCGAGAGGGGGAGGGGGGAGCCCTGGACCTACCGCGCCGGCTGCCTAGCATCAGTTTGTAAGCTAATGTCAACCGGGATAGACTCTTCTCTGGCCTCAGTTTCCTAGGCTGTGTTTGCCTAGTGTGGCGTTCACTGCCGTGTTGTGTGTTGTGTGGTGGCCAGGTGTTCCTCATCAGTACTGGGGCTGCATGTGCTTAGGGGCTTCCTTTCCTAAGCGCCCTGTGAGTACTGCCCCTGTGTGACAGGGTTATCATCCCTGGGGCGTTCGGGAACCATTCCCGTAGAGGTTCTTGCTGCTCGGCATTTGCCTCGCCCTTGGGGCCAGCTGGGGCTTGGGGCCCTTGTTTGGCCCTGGGGTAGGGACTGGTATTGTGCTGGTTAGGGCGTCAAGATGTTGCGCGATCTGCCACCTAAGCAGTAACCGGTTCCTGTTGCCTCTGGAGACAGTGTACTTTTGTGGGGTTTTCTTTTGTTTTTATTTTCATTTGCCTTGTGGGGTCTGCCTAGTGTGGCTATAGTTCCACTCGTGTTCGGTGGCCCTCTGCTAAGCCCCATGATTGTACACGTCGCAGGGGTTTTCAGTGTTGTCCTCTACCTCCTTGTTATTTTTGGGTGTTTAACCAGTTAGCAACACCTTGCCTGGGCTTCCTGTAGTTGTTACCCCTACGGGCCCTGGAAACCCCTGTCGGGGCTCGGTGGACCATTGAATGTGTCTTCCGGGTCCCAACCCATCTTGTACTGGATTGTTGGTTGCTGTGCCCTTGTCTCCGAGTGACAGTCGCCACTTTTACCTCCATCATGCTGCCTGTTGGGTCACTGACACCTTGACCCGGAGTCTTGCGAGAGAGATTCTCTGCTTGTTCTCCAGTACTCTCCTGATGTTATTACTGTTCAGAGCACAGGCGGCATCCGTGTTGCAAGCTAGGTTACGTTGCTGCAACACTCTAGGTTGGTCTCCCACTCGGATGCCCCGAGGCCGCCCCATTTTGGTTAGGTGCTGTTCGCCCCTTTCCCTCCCTATTCCCGGCTCCGGTCCGTCTGTGGGTTTCGGGGTCGGGGCGGGGTTTAGTTGGGGCCGAGACTCAGGCGGTTTTCGGGGGCTGCCCCGTTCGGGTTGGGAACGGAGGTTTTCGAGCCTGTTCCTCCTGCCAAGGCTTCTGAGTCTTACCAGTGGCCCTTTCTTGCTGCCTTTCCCATAGACTCTTCCTTTTCTTCATGGGCGGAGGGCTTGGAGGACGGCTCTGCCCCGGGGCCTCTGTTACGGGTTCCCGGGGCAGTGGGGGATGCCTACTAGCAGTTCTGGGGCAGTTTGCCCCTGCCTGGGTTTTCTGCTTCTGGGCTGAGTTTTTTTCCCATCCAGTCTGCTTGCTTCCCACTTTTGCTGGCGTGTTTTCGTATCTTTTGCGTCCGTCACAGCCCTCTGTTCTAGTGGCCATTTTCTTCTGCCGGTTTTCTGGCGTAGCCACCAGAGCGGTGTTACAGTTTTTTTACATGCGCCTGGGTTTGCGAGCGAGTGTCTTGGGTGAGTTTTTCACCCTTTTCAGGGGTTTTATTCTCCTGTTGTCGTTTCTTTGCTTTTCTGGTGTTTTCTGCCCGTTTCCTGTTCCTCTGGGAACGTTTGAGTGTTGATTTTACACAGGGTTTTCCATTTTGTCTGTTTTGGGTTTGGGCTCAGTGTCCCTGTCTGTTATGCTTGCTCCCACACCTTGTCCCTCAGTTTTCGGTCTGTTTTGACTTTCCCTGGGGGTTCTGTCTGGGGCTGTGCTTTGCCTTTCTGTGGTGTATCTCCGCCGGCAAATGTGGTGGTTTGGGCTCCTCCGGTTCGATTCCGGGTTCCTTTGGGTTTTTTGGTTTCGTTCTGAAGGTTTTTTCCTCTTGAGCCCCCTTTGTGGGTTCAGGGGGCTTTGTTTCCTCGTATGTGTGACCCGGTTCTGCCTTCTGAGGTTCCGGGGTCTTCCTGGCTTGCAGACTGATCTTTTTGGGTCTTGGCACGTGTTGTGGTTGTGCTGGGACTTTGGAGTTTTGTCGAGGTGGGCCTTTTGATGCAGTTTTGTGCCTTCTTTGCCTGGCCGGTGTGGTGCTCTCTGCCCACTGGTCGGCGGCTTGTAATTTTCTTTTCACGTGTATATGTGTGTGTACACATGTACACTGTGTGTGCGCGCACATGTATAAGTGCATACGCACGTGTGTGGAACATACCTTGTGTGTATGTGTATATGTACAGTGGTACCTCGGAACACGAGTTTCCCTGTATGTGAGTTTTTCGAAATACGAGCAGGATTTTCTCGGAAAATGTATCTCGGAAGGCGAGGGTTACCTCGGAACACGAGTTTGTTGATACGTGTACAGGCCGACTAGCTCATGGTAGCACGGCGATCGCGCCTCAGTTTACCAGTGTCTCGCGCCCAGTGACTATTCCTGACAGGGGAGTCTTCACAAGGATTTACAGTTTTTTGTCGTTTTTTTGGCCATTTGAGCATAAAAGTTGTCATTATACATCTCGCCATGGGTCTCAAGAAAGCCATTGCTAAGGTTCAACCTAAGAAAATAGCTGTGAGTAGAGGCAGTAGATGATGTCCCTTCTTGATTAAGAAAATGTGTGAAGTATGGGAAGAACTGCAAAGTTTTGTTAAAAAAACTCACCCAGATAAAGCTGTAGCAGGCCGTTGCATTGACCTTTTAAATGACAATGTGATGTCTTACTACAGACAAGTGTTAAAATGTAGGGAAAAACAAGTGTCTTTAGACAGATTCTTAGTAAAACAAGCAAGTCCTATTGGTATACAGGCAAAATGTGCCAGAGTGTGCACACCAGAGAAGTCCTCACTGCCTGATGTTATAATGGAAGGGGACTCCTCTTCCAAACAGTAACACCTCTCCTCCTCACCATCTTCCATACTCCAACAGCAGTCATCAGCAAGGGTAAGTAATAACTTTAACATAGTTTTGTAGGTTTATTTAGATGAATTAGGTATAAAAATTTAGTTTGATGTGGGGTTTTTGGCGTAGTCAGGAACGGATTAATTCATTTCCCATTATTTCTTATGGGGAAATTAGCTTCGGAATACGAGTTTTCGGAATACGAGCTGTCTCCAGAAACGGATTAAACTCTTAAACCGAGGTACCCCTGTATATGTATTTGTATGTACATAATATTTATGTATATGTGTATGTATACTTTTTCCTTCAGAAGAGGCTCTGTTCCCTTCTCTGTTGATGGGGCGCTGGGGGAGCAGCTTGATCTGCTGACTCTCGCATGGTCCCGCAGTTAGTAGGTGCTTTTGGTTGTCTTCTGGCCTCTGGTGGCGGCAGTGGACGGCTTCTCCCCCTTTGGGGGGTTCAGGGTTGGCGGGGTGGGCTTCTTCCCCTGCGCTTCGTCATGTAATTTTCGTGGGTGCATTGGACGTGGTCGATCTGCCCCTTCCTTCTGGGGTTCCTGTCTGCTCAGTCTAATACATACACATCAGCTCGGTAAGCTCCAGGAAGCCTCCGGGGCTCACGCAGAAAATGGCGTTTCATTACATTCAACGCTGGTTTTATTATTTGCTCAACTATATTAACCCTTAAACTGCGCAACGCGCCTGCAGGCTCACGTCTGGTTTGCGCAACGCGCCTCCGGGTATTTGTATTTTTCACGTTCCATTCAAAACTCCCGCGGCTACATGGGGTTCAAATCAGCTTCCTCAGGGCTCTTGTAAACAGACGCCATCTTTAAAAAAAATCGTGGTCCACATTCCCGGGTGTGGGAGCCTCAGTAGTGTGTGAGCAACCAAGGCTGGCGCTCGCAGCATGAGCGCACAGCACTGCTGTTCAGCATGTGACCACAGCATCGCCTAATAATGTCAAAATATATATATAAATTGTATTATTTAGTGTTATATTAGAGCCTGAGTGTGATAATGACTGGGTACAATGTTCAAATATCAGTGATTCAATGCTGTTCACGATGTTCACAGCGCTAGCCACAGCACCAGAGCATTATTTCGTTCATCTAGGAATCTTCAAATGATTTCTTAGGTTCTTTTTCAAAATAAACGTGTGGTCAATTATTCATTTACAGGAATTAGTGACCAGGATTGTGATAATAGCAGGAATGTGGTTATAATTAGCGTTGTGCGTAGTATTGTGGAAGGAGGAATTTTGATGAGGGAGGGAGGGCGAGAATTGAGGTAGCCTCAATTGTGTGTGTGTGGCTGCCACTCTTGTTTTGCTCACCATACTAGCTTAGTGGTTCACTATGGGCAACACATATGTACATGGGTATATATAGTGTGTGTATATAGTGTAAGAACAGCAACAGGAGAATGTTGAGAGGAGCTATTTTGGTGAGGGAGGTGACGTAATCGTAGCGTCGTCTGCTGTGTGATTTTTCATGCAGTGTATGGTGGCCACTGTACTGTTTGGACACAATACCGGCTTACTTGCATAGTTCTGGTAAATAAAACATGTAGATAGGTATATAGAACATGTGTAATAAGAACTATAGCAATATGGTGGGAGGAGCAATGTTGGCGAGTAAGATGTTGGAGTGAGGGAGACTGGCTGGGTGTGGCTGCTCTCACTCAAGGTGTTCTGAATGTGTTCATGGCCCATACGAGGCAGCTGCTATTGGCACATACGAGGCAGCTGCTATTGGCCCATACGAGGCAGCTGCTATTGGCCCATACGAGGCAGCTGCTATTGGCCCATACGAGGCAGCTGCTATTGGCCCATACGCGGCAGCTGCTATTGGCCCATACGCGGCAGCTGCTATTGGCCCATACGCGGCAGCTGCTATTGGCCCATACGCGGCAGCTGCTATTGGCCCATACGCGGCAGCTGCTATTGGCCCATACGCGGCAGCTGCTATTGGCCCATACGCGGCAGCTGCTATTGGCCCATACGCGGCAGCTGCTATTGGCCCATACGCGGCAGCTGCTATTGGCCCATACGAGGCAGCTGCTATTGGCCCATACGAGGCAGCTGCTATTGGCCCATACGAGGCAGCTGCTATTATCCCATACGCGGCAGCTGCTATTGCCTATACGAGGCAGCTGCTATTGGCCCATGCGGGGCAGCTGCTATTGGCCCATGCGGGGCAGCTGATATTGGCCCATGCGGGGCAGCTGCTATTGGCCCATGCGGGGCAGCTGCTATTGGCCCATGCGGGGCAGCTGCTATTGGCCCATGCGGGGCAGCTGCTATTGGCCCATGCGGGGCAGCTGCTATTGGCCCATGCGGGGCAGCTGCTATTGGCCCATGCGGGGCAGCTGCTATTGGCCCATGCGGGGCAGCTGCTATTGGCCCATGCGGGGCAGCTGCTATTGGCCCATGCGGGGCAGCTGCTATTGGCCCATGCGGGGCAGCTGCTATTGGCCCATACGAGGCAGCTGATATTGGCCCATACGAGGCAACTGCTATTGGCCCATACGAAGCAGCTGCTATTGGCCCATACGAGGCAGCTGATATTGGCCCATACGAGGCAACTGCTATTGGCCCATACGAAGCAGCTGCTATTGGCCCATACGAGGCAGCTGATATTGGCCCATACGAGGCAGCTGCTATTGGCCCATACGAAGCAGCTGCTACGCGGTGTTCTGAATGTGTTGATGGTGAATGTATATAGTGTGTGACAGTGTATAGTGTGTAAATAGATTGTATATATACACAAATTAGCATGATACATAGTAAATATGTGCTGCATATGTGTACACAAGTTTCATGCACGTAACAGTGTCTACGGACAGTACGGATGTTGTACTGCGATATTATAGTGTACGTGTTCATTATACATTGGATTGGCACATAAAAACAATGAAAATGTATTTGGAAAGGTGCGCAAAAAATGAACGAAAATATATTCGCGGCAACTCGCGCGCCCCGCCCCGAGCGCCCCACCGCCCCCGAGAGCTTACGGCACGGGCGCACGGGGAATGATGACGTCACGCCCCAACTTCCGGACCCCATAGCAGCCAAAGTAAGTACAATGTCGACTTTTTTTTTGCATACCCATACTGAGGGAAGGGTTTTTGACACTTCAAAAAGAAAAAAGATTTTTTTCCAGAGAATTTATTTCCTGCGCACTGCGGGGGTGTCACATTTGGAGGCAACGCAGTTAAGGGGTTAAGGTAGTAGCTTTTAATCCCTTAATTTGTCTTTAATCTGTATTTTTCTTCCTTTACCCATTATTGATGCCAGACATTGTCTTTATCATATACTTGTCTTTCCTTGATAGTATTGCTAATCATATTTCAATATAGGTTGGTGTCCACATAGCTGATGTGTCGCACTTCATTCGACCCCACACTGCCTTAGACAAGGAAGCACAAAACCGCAGTACTACGGTGTACCTCACCAACCGTCGTATTGATATGGTGCCAGGTGAGTGACCATCATGGCTAAGGTGGCACCTATTCTTCTTGCTTCTGCTGAAGTAAACAAATTTAGGCAACTTGAAAGATTTTTATTATAAGGTTATTCATGGGATTATACAAATTTTTTAATGCCATCATAAATAGCTGAGGAGCATTTGTGAGCCATGGTGAATGGGTCCACATCAGATATTAATTACACAATTTATATTACCTGCATAAGCAAGTCCTTGTTTCAGTGCTTCTCTCTTTTCAATTACAAGCTTTCAAAGTGCATGTAAGTTGAGAGTAAAGTCAAAGTGTATAATTTAAATAGTGTTATAGAAACTTAAAACAGTAAGGGGTGTGTGTAAGAAAGATGTGTTTGTGTTAAAGGCATGTATTAAAAGAATTTAGATGTTTTAGACTTCTGGACCATATGATGACCTTTAAAAAGTAAAGTTTGCACAGTGGCAATATTATGACTAATAAGGCATACAGCATGGCTGGCTGCTGGGAAAGTAACTTGTATTGGAGTTAATTTTGTTGTTGTTGTCTCAAGATCATTAGTACATGATTGTGGGATACTTTATCTAATAAGATGTCCAAGTTGTGCACAATCTCTCACAGTGGCCTCATTACAACACCATTTGTGGTAGAAGCTTGATATTTCAAGATACTGTGACAAAATGGTGGAAATCCAGTATTAGAAGAACAACAAAATGGAGATGTGGTATAGACTGATTTTGCAAAGGCATTTGATAAGTGTGACCATGGAGTTATAGCACAAAAATTAGATCAGTTGGAATAACAGGTAGAGTTATGGATATTCAATTTCTTGTCAGACAGAATGCAAGGAGTAACATTCAATCAAACAAAATAAAGTTCATCACAATAAAAAGCTCTGCCCCACAGGGCACTGTCCTTGCACCGCTGCTTTTCTCATTCTCATATCAAGAGAAAACTTGAATTGCTCTGATGCAAATCACAGCATCGTGTCATCAATGCTGTGATTTGTATTATTGGTTTCTGTGTTGATGCACATGATACAGAAATCAGCACGAAAATTCCTGTGTAGAAGACAATAAAAACCTACAAGCTGATATTAATCAAGTTTTCGATTAGGCAGGAGAAAATAACATTATGTTTAACAGTAATAAATAGATTCCAGTTTGTTAGGTATGGAAAATAAAGGTAGTTTATATAACCAGCAGTGGTGTGTTTTGTTTTGCTGACTTTATGATTACTTTCCTGGTGGTGGCAGACATGATTAAAATTCATTGACATAGTGGCACTGCTTTCTGCGCCTCTTTTAGAGGGCGACCAGGTTCTGGCTCGTGGCCTTTGGTAGGCCTAAGAGATCATTGTGACTGATGGCACCTAGTTGTTTGACACTATAATCAGCATTGTAGCTTCAGGAAGCCACAAGAGGCTTTCCCTAGAAATTGGGGTTTCATTACATTCAGTGCTGTTTTTTTTATATTTTGTGTTTTTTATTATGAAAATAGCCTCAACTTGGTACACCAGGGAGATTTTTTTAACAAGAGAAAGAGGAGAAAAATGGTTAGATGTCCATTTTACCATCAACTTTAATTTTGTCCAAACTTCCCCAGTGCTTCCTGGGATTCTAGTCATACTAGATGTGAGGTGGGCAGCTCCTTGCTTGTCTGTTAGCAAGTAGGTACACTGTATTGACATCTGTTGATGGGTAGTGACCTGATGTGGCAACTTGCAATTAGCAAACCAATAATTGGGGGTTGTTTTGATGCTAAGTAGGGCTTGGGTTTTCTTTCTTTTTTGTTTTGTTTTAGTGCCTTGGCTGTATCAGGTTTTGTCCTTGTTAAGTGCAGTGCCGGACATTGCTCAAGGGAGCAACCGAGTGACCTGCTCGGAAAGGAGTTTTATTTCTGTACTCAAAGGTATATATTTTTTCTGTGCAATGCTGAGATGGTTATTAGGGTTTGGGAGTCCAATCTTAGTAATAACATTTTTGATATTGCAGATCTCCTCAGCAGTAACTTGTGTTCCCTGCGTGGTAATGTTGACAGGTTTGCTTTCTCTGTCATATGGGAAATAACACCACAGGCAGAAGTTTTATCATCCCGGTTAGTAATCGTGTTTGTATTCTTATCAAATAAATTGACTTCTAATATTAAGATCAAGAAGCACATAATCAATTGTATTTTAAATTAGATATGCATCTAGAAAAAATTATGTTGGGTGTGTTTAAATTGTATGACTTTTAGGGTCTCATTTATGAAAGCTACACTCATAAAGGTGTTCTTGTAGGATGTTCACTGGTGCTGTGTTCTCTGCTCTTCCTTTGTTGTTCAACTGGTTTTGTTCCACAGACCCCTTGTGTTTCCCACCCAACACTTGCTCCACCCTACAGGATGTGTGACAGTTTAGAAATTTGGGCTGTGTTTTGCTGTGAATGTAGCACGGCATTCTCTGGGGAGTGCCCTTTCCATATCAATGTCAGAAACAGATGAGCCATTGCTTCTCGCTGGGAATCCGTAGCCCTCTGTTTCTCTGGGAGGGAAATTTGGCTGGGATCCAATTACTTTGTTGATGCCTTCCTATCTGTTCAGGCATCAGATGTGAAACTTGGATCTGCCCTGGGATTTTCATATTTGGCTTCTGGGGCTGGGAAGGAGCCCAAGGTGCCTTTTGATCTGTCTTGGTCTCCAGTTCACTCTACAGATTTTTTCTGGAGGAGCCCTCTGCTGGATTCTTGAAATTAAGAATTCTGGATTCTTACCTTGCTAAGATTGTTCCTTACTGAAAAGTCACATCATTTGCAGAAGAGCTGTTTGACCTACTGGAGACCTGAACCAGAATCTGGCCCTTTTACAGAGGCACAGAGCAAGTGACAATCTGCCACCCCCACCAGAAAAACCATCCAAAAAGTTAATGCATTTGTACAGACAACTAGAGGGTTCACAGACAAGTGCCTCAAAATCACCAAACAACTCCGCAAAGGATTCACAGAGCAAGGGATTCACTCAAAGTAGCTCAAAACTCATTAGTACCATCACCATGTGGCCTGGCCCCAGCCTGCTTTGTGAAGAATGTCCACTGTTTATATCATATGGTATATAATTTACATGGGGATCACTGGAACAAAGGAGTGATGTGGGTCATGGCTGCCTATTTATGGATTAAAAGCCTTGTCAGCGATGTGATATAAATCTAATACAGACCACGGGACAACTTTTGTAGCAACTGAGAAAATGCTGAAGATTGCAAAGCATGACGTGACATGATGTCACAAACAGAGTGAACAGAAGAAACCTACAAATTTGTACAATCAGGATAAATTATCATTATCACATAACTACTACACAGTATATAAAAAAACAAATCACACTAACGTGATATATATATCAATGAAAAATCCACCAGGGCTGTGAGGTGCGAACCTACGACCAAGGCATTGCTAAGCTGCATACTCTACCACTGGACCACTGCTGACTTGTAAAAGTCCTATAACCGGATTTCTACTGAAATCACAGGAAGTCTGGATGCTCCTACTGAAGCCAGTCTAAGATTTTACTTGTGTCATATGTAAACACTTAGACTTGCTTCAGTAGGGGCCTCCAGACTTTATGATTTCAGTAGAAATCAGGTTGTATGACTTTACAAGTCATGGTGGTCCAGTGGTAGAGTATGCAGCTGGCAATGCCTTGGTCGTAGGTTCGTGCCATCTGACAGCCCTAGTGGATTTTCTCACCTACACATTATGATAACATTCTTAAATGAATGGTAGGTATTTACACAAGGTATTTACATACTTTTCACTTACATCATAAGGTATTTACACATCTACAAACACTAAGCTATTTAGGTGTCAGTTAGAATAACTGACATGAGTAGAGAATTCATTGTAATTGAGAGGAGGCAGCTCCTGCTTCAGGAATGCAGCCTGGCAGTACAGACCACAGGCAGACTGTTTACATTGTCTAGTAAAGAAGTGTATGGTGCTTCTCCAGACTTTGAGGGTCAATCCATCTAATAATTGATTGTGCCTTGTTTAATCATTATAATAGAGGTAGAGACTTTTCAAACAAATAACAGTGTAACACATTGAGAACTACACAGAGGTGAGGTGTAGTGATTAGCTGCCAGTAACTACAACAGATGCCTCTATTACCAGGGACCATGTTACCAACCCGTGAATAGCTGCCAGTAACTACAATAGATGCCTCTATTACCAGAGACCATGTTACCAACCCGTGATAAGCTGCCAGTAACTACAACAGATGCCTCTATTACCAGAGACCATGTTACCAACCCGTGAATAGCTGCCAGTAACTACAATAGATGCCTCTATTACCAGAGACCATGTTACCAACCCGTGAATAGCTGCCAGTAACTACAATAGATGCCTCTATTATCAGAGACCATGTTACCAACCCGTGATTAGCTGCCAGTAACTACAACAGATGCCTCTATTATCAGAGACCATGTTACCAACCCGTGAATAGCTGCCAGTAACTACAATAGATGCCTCTATTACCAGAGACCATGTTACCAACCCGTGATAAGCTGCCAGTAACTACAACAGATGCCTCTATTACCAGAGACCATGTTACCAACCCGTGATTAGCTGCCAGTAACTACAACAGATGCCTCTATTACCAGGGACCATGTTACCAACCCGTGATTAGCTGCCAGTAACTACAACAGATGCCTCTATTACCAGGGACCATGTTACCAACCCGTGTAATGTTTGTGGTGTTGACTCCCCCTTCTCAATACTAGGCACTTCTGGCCTCGTGTAACTCACAAACTTCAATTAACTAGTCTAGGGATATAGAAAGTCTACAGTAAAAGAATCACATGTTTACTTGGATGAACTTGACATGTGTAAAAAAAGTTATTTACAAATATTATTTACAAATAGATGGGGGGAGGGTGGCCCTTCACTTTGTGTATTGTTTCTTCTTTAAATATTGATTTCACATGCATGTTTTGGCTCCAATTTGTTGTGAGGGCTTGGCTCTTCTTGTGCTTTGGGTTGAATGCACTCAAGGTTTTCTTCCCCGTATGCCCACTGATGCTACCGTTTGCATAGTCAGGGCTACCTTATCTGGTGTGTTTGGGAGTTTGTCCCTGAGATGCTGAACACCGGGATGGCTAAGGCTATTCAAGAATCTTTGATTCCTCTGTTTTGGCCCTATGCTGGGGGGTTGTTTGGTTGTACTGGGGTGCAATGGGATTCGCAGCCTTGTATATAGTAGTTTTGGCTGCACTGGGGTGCAATGGGATTCGCAGCCTTGTATATAGTAGTTTTGGCTGCATTTAGTGTCTTGTTCCAGTGCGCAGCTCCAGTACCTGAGATGTCTGCATGGTTAATATCCTTTAAGCCCTGGAAATTCCTTGCAGGTCTGGTGTTGTCTGTATGGATTGACCCATCAACCCCACTCTCGCTGATTGCAAGTTTGAGGGGTGTTCATTGTCTTTGCTACCTAAAATAATTATTCTCTCTTATCCTGCAATGCTCCTTGTTGGGTCGGTCACACCTTATTATATCATTCATATAAATAGATGCTGCCTCATATTGACCAATAGGCCCTCTGTAGTTCCTTTATTATTATGTTCAAATGATGATTAGTTGACCTGATATACTTTATTTCAACCATATAGAGTTGCGAAAACCATATGAATATAATTGGTATACATATCTTGGAATTATAATGGAATTTTCTCCCCGAATGGGGGAACCCATTCGGCTCTCTGGAGCTATCGGGCTAATATGCGATACATTAGAACAAGGCTTTAGTCAATGGAGTTCAGCCTACCAGGGACTACGAGCCAGAACCTGGCCCCCTCAGACAAGAGAGGGGGGGGCCAATAGCCTCCCCTCACAATTCAGGGAACAATAGCCCAGGAAAACCCCTGTGTGGATTTGTTTATCTGCCATCGACCGGGGTTGAGCATCTAGAATGCCATCGACCGGGGTTGAGCATCTAGAAAGATAGGCATAACAAAACAAACCCCGCATGGTAAGAATTTGCAACCGAAAACCGGACAGAGCAGCAGAACTCCCTCAAATCCCAAGGAAACAAGCAAACAACCAAACGTCACACTATGCTGCCGCTCGTCCCAATGCCCCCCCCCCCACCCCCATTCCTGGGGAGGGGAAAGGGAAAGCCCCGGACCCATAGCACTGGCTACCCAGCCTCAGTTCATTGGCTAAAGCTATCTGGGGGTGGATGTCATCTCTGGCCTCGGTTTCCAAGCAGTGTTTATCTTCATGGTGTTCTCTTCTGTTCATGGTATGGTGGCCCGGTGTACCTGAAGTGTACTGGGGCTGCATGCGCTTAGGGCAGCCCCGTCCCCCACCCCCGGATTCTCTAAGTGCCTTGCCTTAACTCAAGGTTACCTTGAGGTCTTTTCGGGGCTTAGCGTCCCTGCGACCCGATCGTTGACCAGGCCTCCTGATTGCTGGACTGGTCAACCATGCTGTTGGATATGGCTGCTCACAGCCTGACATATGAGTCATAGCTTGGTTGATCAGGTATCCTTTGGAGGTGCTTGTCAAGTTCTCTCTTAAACACTTTGAGGGGTCGGCCAGTTATGCCCCTTATGTGTAGTGGAAGTGTATTGAACAGTCTCGGGCCTCTGATGTTGATAGAGTTCTCTCAGAGTTCCTATTGCACCTCTGCTTTTCAATGTATTCTTCATATCCTGCCATGCCTCCTGGTCTCATGTGGTGTGATTTCTGTGTGCAGGTTTGGGACCAGCCCCTCTACTATTTTCCGTGTAAATTGTTATGTATCTCTCCCACTTGCACTCAAGAGAATACAGATTTAGGCATTTCAGTCAGGCCCAATAGTTTAGATGTTTTACTGAGTGGATTCTAGCAGTAAAGGATCTCTGCATGTTCTCCAGATGAGCAATTTCTCCAGCTTGGAACGGGGGTTTCATTGTGCAGCAGTATTCCACTCTAGAGAGCACTAACACTTTGAAGAGTATCATCATTGGTATAGCATCTCTAGCGTGAAAAGTTCTTGTTATCCAACCTGTCATTTTTCTTGCAGTTGTGACGTCTACTTTATTGTGTTTTTTAAAGATAAGGTCTACCAACGTGAGTTCACCCAAATCCTTTACATTGCTTTTTCGTTCTATGTTTTGATTTGACTGCGTTTTGTACGTGTTTTCTGCTTCTATATTTTCATTTTTTCCGTAGCCCAAGAGCTGAAACTTATCTTTGTTAAATACCATATTATTTTCTGTAGCCCATTGAAAGATTTGATTTACATCTGATTGTTGTGCTCTCTATAAAGTTGTTGTCTACTCTCATAAAAATCCTAGTGTCATCTGCAAAGGATGATACATTGCCATAGATTGTGTCCTTGTCTGTCCGATATGAGGATGAGAAAAAGTACTGGAGCAATCACGGTACTCTGGGGGGACTGAGCTCTTCACTGTTGATGGTCCGGATTTTATTTTGTTGACTATTACTCATTGGGTTCTATCAGTCAGGAAATTGTAGATCCATCTGCCTATTTCTGGTGGAGCCCCTTTGGCTCCCCAGAGCTTACTAGGCTGATAATGCTAATGTCAGATGAACAAATCCACAAGGGCCGTGACGAGGATTCGAACCTGCATCCGAGAGCATCCCAGACGCTGCCTTAATCGACTGAGCTACGACATGGTCAAAAGGAGTTGAAACCTAAGTTCTACTGAACTTACTGGATCCTGCAGCCTCTCCGAGGCACAAACCAGGGTTTTACACAACTCCCCCCATTCACTCGAGCTATGTCAATAGGCCGTTCTCCCTCTTCGCCCTTACTTCATTACACGTGGAAATCACAATTGCGTGATGCATCAAATGAACAAATCTACAAGGGCCGTGACGAGGATTTGAACCTGCATCCGAGAGCATCTCAGACACTGCCTTAATCGACTGAGCTACGACATGGTCAAAAGGAGTTGAAACCGAAGTTCTACTGAACTTACTGGATCCTTCAGCCTCTCCGAGACACAAACCAGGGTTTTACACAACTCCCCCCATGCACTCGAGCTATGTCAATAGGCCGTTCTCCCTCTTCGCCCTTACTTCATTACACACACAAATCACAATTGCGTGATGCATCAAATGAACAAATCCGCAAGGGGTGTGACGATATGAGGATGCCCTTGTGGATTTGTTCATTTGATGCATGTTCATTTTGATGCAAGAATAAACAGCAAGGACGAAACCCTCTTCCCTCAGCTAGACGACCTATGGGAGATGTTTAGGCATAGAGGTTACCCTGAGGAAACACTGAACCATGCCCAAGAGAAACTATGTGGAAAGACCAGAGAACAACTTCTCAGGCCCCTGGCCCCACGGTTGGAGGATAGGAGATGGATCCTCCCTATCCTGTGCATTCTTGGTTTTGCTGGGAAACTAAAACAGAAACTATCAGATGTATGGGCCTGGATGAGAGAGACATACAGTGACCACCCCTCTTGGGAGAACTTCCCACAAAATCCACCAATGATTACGTGGAGGCGAGGTAAGTCCATCAAGGATCACCTCGTCCGAGCAGGTTTACAACCCGGCACCAGGACCTGACAAAGGAGTAGGATATCCATGCTGAAGGAACCCGTCAAAACCCACCAGCGCAGACCTAACCTGACATAGGAATCTGCACAACACACCAAGGTAACCGAAGTATGTGGAGTGGTTAGGAGGGGCCTACATGCAAGCGACCCTTGCACTTTTTCATTTTAGTCTTGTGTTGGGACGTGACCACCAACTGTGTGTTGTTGCTGTCAGTTGGGGCCGTGGTCTCAGACCTCCTGGCGAGCTCGCTGGTGTTGGGACGTTTTTGTCCGGCAGACGTTCCACCTCCTTCTTTGCCGGCTCGATTTTCCGGCCCTTCCTGCTCGGTGGTTGCACCCAAGATCTTCCCGTGACTCCGCCTCTTCTCGGCTCGTTTGGTCCATGGCGGGGCTGGTTCGGCTCTACCTCGGGTCTCTCACTTTCTGTTGGTCAGGTTGCTTCATTGATGGTGTCCCACCTGCGTTCTTCTTCTTCGCGGCAGTGTGGGGGTTTTTGACTGTCCTTCTTTTTTCCTTCTGTCCCTTCTTCAGTTCTGTGTTTTGTTGCCGTGGTCTTGTCCTTCTCTTTTGGGGGTTCGGCGCCGTCATTTTGCCACATACTGTCGCCTCGTATCGTGCGGCGCTGGCGGAGCCGCTTCAATTTGCTTTTGGTATTGAGGTTACTTCTGCTCCATTTAGCATGCTGCCTCAGACATTGTTTCACCTCCGGCCTGCTCATGCGCTGCCTGAGCGGTCCTAATCATTGGACAAAGTGCTCTCTTATCTTCTCGGTTTGTTGTGACCCTTTCAGTTCCGGATTGTTTCTCCAAGGCTCTTTTTTCTGTTGGCCTTGGCCTCTGGAGGTCGGGTTGGTGAGCTTTCTGCTCTCCGGTGCAGGAGTTTTCTGCTCCTTCGGTCATGGCGATGAGGTTGTTCGTTGCAGCAGTCTTATTCTTTTCTGGCGGAGAATGAGACGGCTGCTTTTGGTAGGGGTCCTTGGGTTGTTGATGCTTGGTTGGTTTGGCCAGGGGTACATCATGTTTGGTGTACGGTGGTGGCCCTCCACCGTTCATTGCGCGCCATGGCTTCTGTGTCCTGGGTCGCACTTTGGGTTGATCCGGTTTCCCTCCTTCCCTGTTTGCGGGTGCGGGTCTCCCAGGTCATCCGCAGGATTATTACGGCTAGCCGGCCTGCGGTCTCTCCCCGTGTCCATGTTCGCAAGTTCGCGGCTCTTACCGCTGTTTTTGGCAACATGTCCTGGGCTGTTGTTCGGGCGTGAGGTTTTTTTCGGTTGAACAGGGTCCTGGCTGCTCGTTATCTCATGTGCGTTTCTGGGCCTAGTCGGGCTTGTGTCGCTTTGGATCGGCAGTTGCAGTCGGTTGCTTCGACTTAGAGTTGACGAGTGAGCGGCGACTGCCTCCCGGGTAGGTCCCTCTACTTTCCTCTGTGGGGAGTTAGCTTCGGGGAGCCGAAGGGGCTCCCCCAGAAAACCAGCGTTGAATGTAATGAAACACCATTTTCTAGGTGAGTCCCGGAGGCTCCCCTGGCATCTCTCTCTCCCTCCGGTCGGAGGTTTTTCATGTTTTTTGACATTCAGCCTCAGAACTGGGGGTGGATAGCCGGCGCGATGGGTCTGGGGCTCCCCCTTCCCCCTCCCGGGGAGGGGGGAGCTGCGCGGACAGCAGCGCGGCGACATGTGACATCATGATTGTTTGGTCGTTTATTTTAGGGGAGTTCTATCCACTTGTTCGACTTGTGGTAGCAATTTTCACCAGAATAGGGGTTTGTTTTGGGATGCTTACCTTTCTGGGTGCCTAACCCGGTCGATGGCAGACATAGAATGCTTCCAACCACACGCGGGTTTCTATAGGCCATTGCTCCCCTTGCCTCTTTGATGGGGCCAGGTTCTGGCCATGGTACCCGGTAGGCCCTAGAACTCCATACACATGACTGATGCCAAAGTCTGAAATTAGCATATCAGCCTGGTATAGCTCCGGGGAGCCTCCGGGTCTCATCCAGAAAATGGCGTTTCATTACATTCAACGCTGGGTTTTTTTAATGTCTCAAGGTAAACTCCACTTCATCCATTTTAGCATCATTGGTGTAAACCCAGACTTTAATAGTTTAAATTAGTGTATGATGATAACTGCATTAGCCCATGAATCAACATGTGATAACCACACTTTAAGGGATAATAATTTTTCTACTTGATCAGATTTTGCAAGACAATCATCAAGTCTCGGGGAGAACTAAGCTACGAGCAGGCTCAGCAGCGTATTGATGATCCAAATATGAAAGATGATCTTACCAAAACTCTCAGAAATCTCAACATGTTGGCTAAGCAGCTAAAGAATAAGAGGATCAATGCTGGGTAAGACTTGTGAAATGTGTGTATGTATTTGAAGACTTTAAATAAAATCTATGCATAAGAAAGCTTGAGGTACGTCTCATATTGGACATATTTATGAACTTCTGCATTGACCACCTTGAGGTTCAGTAAGGACTGTGATATTGGAATGATTTTGGTAATCAATTTAGTTTATGCATTCAGATGAACCTTGTAGCTACAAAGGCTTATTATGTTTACTCAACGTAACATGATCATCAATTTAATATGATGATTCCAAGGATCAATGTCCCTATGGCCCAGTCCCTGACCAGACCATCAACCTCCTGGTTGATGGTCTGGTCAACCAGGCTGTTCGATGCATCTGCTCCCTGCCTGATGTATGAATCGCATCCAGGTTGATCAGGTATCCTTTGAAGGTTCTTCTCTTTGGAACACTGCGAGAAGTTGGCCAGTTATGTTCCGTATGTGTAGAGGGAGCGTTGAAAAGTCTTGAGCATTTGATGTTGATCGAATACCTATTGCACCCTTGCTTTTCAATGGGGCTATTTTCCACATCCTGTCATGCCTTCTGGTCTCATGAGGTGTTATTTCTGTGCACAGATTTGGAACCAGTCCTTATAGTATTTTCCAAGTATAAATTATTATGTATCTCTCCCGCCTACACTCTAGGAAATACAGATGTTTTATCAAGTGGATTCTAGCTGTAAAGGATCCTGCACGTTCTCCAGATCAGCAATTTCTCCAGCTTTGAATGGGGCTGTTAGTGTGTAGTAACATTCCACTTAAGAGAGTACTAATGTCTTTAAAAGTATCATCATTTGTATGGCATTTCAAGTTTGTAAGGTTCATGTTATCCAACCTCTCATTTTTCTTGCAGTTGTGACAGCAACTTTGTCATGTTCTTTAAAAGTAAGGTTTTCTGATATGATTACTCCTAAATCTTTTACATTGCTTTTTCTTGCAATAGTGTGATTTTACAGTGTTTTCTGTGGAGAGCCCCTTCGGCTTCCCAGAGCTATACTGGGCTGATGTGTATATATTAGACTGTGGCAACAGTCAGTTGATGACGTTTTAGCCTACTGGGGACCACGAGCCAGAACCTGGCCCCCTCCTCAGAGGCACGAAGAACAATGGCTTTATTGACACCCCCATGTAGTTGGAAGCAGTCTGTGTCTGCCATCTACCAGGTCAGGCACCCAGAAAGGTAGGAATTCCAAAACAGACTACAGCTGATTAAAAATAGCAAACCGAAAGCCCAACAAGCAAGCAGAACTCTCCAATCAGAAAACAAGAAAACAAGCATGACGTCAACACAGCCGGTGCGCCGCTGTTTGCGCAGCTCCACCCCTTCCTTGGAGGGAAAAGAGGGGGACCAAAACCTCCCATGCCGACTACCTAGGGTCACCTTCCCTAGGTGCCCTATAAGTACTGCCCTTGCAGTTTGGGGTTACCTTCCACAAACTGTTTGGGGACTGCCTCCGCAGGGTTCTTTTGCTGTTTGGTGATTGTCCGCCCTAGGGGTCAGCTGGGGTCTTTTCCTACCTCTGTTTGGCCTTGGGTATGAGTAGTACCATCGCTGGCTGAGGTGCAAGGTACTGTGCAGCTGTCTTATATTATGCATAGCAGCCGGTTCTGTTCCTCCTGGAGAAGTTGTACTTTTGTGGGGTGTTTCTTTTCTTTTGCCTGGTGGGGGTCTTCTTGGTGTGACTGTAGGACCACTTGTATTATTTTGGTGGCCCTCTGTTAGGTCCCTGTGATTGCACACATTGCAGGGGTTCAGCTTTTGTTTGTTCTCTTGGTAGTTCTGGGTTAAACAGTTAGCAGTACCTTGCCTAGACTTCCCTTACCAGTCAGCCTAAGGGCCCTGGAAAACCCCATTGGGGCTCATTGTTCCAAAGGATGCATCCTCCGAGTCCCATCTCGCTTTGTGCGAATTTGAAGGTTGCTCAGTCCCCCTTGTCTCAGGGTAACACTCACCGTCTTTGCCTCCGCCACGCTGCCTGTTGGGTCAGTGACACCTTTGACCCTGAGACCTGAGAGTGGTGTTCTTTGCTTATACTCCAGTTCACCCAGTCCACTGATGTTAATATTCAGGTGCAGGCAGCTTCCGTTTCACATGTGAGGTTTAGGTTGCTGCAACACACTGTTTGTTGCCTTTCTGGATGCCCCGTGGCTGCCCCTGCTTGGGTTATAGGGACCCAGAGTTGGGGGTGTTAGTCGCCTCAACTTTGGTTTCATCTGCACCCCCTTGTCCTTCCCCTGCTGTATTTCATCCTGCTCCTCTCCTTCCCCCTGCTTTCAAATATCTAACTGTTTTGGAGTCAGGGCAGGGCTTTCTTGGTGGTGAGACTCAGGCGGCTTTGGGGACTACCCCTTCTGGATCGGCAGCGGCAGCATTCAAGCCTGTTTTTCCTGCCGGGGCTTTTGGGTCGTTCTGGCAAACCCCTTTCTTCCCTGCTTTTCCGGTGGACTCTGCCTTTTCTCCAGAGGCAGAGGGTTTGGAGGACAGCTCTGCCCTGGGTCCTGATGTAGAGGATCCCGGGGCTGTGGAAGGAGTTGACTTGGGGAGGGGGGGGCTTGGGCCCTGTTTGGCCCTGTTGGGTGTTGGTACCCTCGGTGTGGGGCTTGGTGTTACAGGGGGAGGGGGGGGTTTTCCTATCCCCTCCGTCCCTGTACGAATTTGATATGGGTTCGGTTCCAGGTTTCTTTGTGTTTTTCGGTTCTCTCTGTCCGGAGGTTTTCGGCTTCCTGCATCCCACCTAGGGAGATTCAGTAGGCCATTGTGGCTTACCTCCTGCGGGACCTGGATTACGCCTCGCTAATAGATCCTTCTTGTTTTGAGTTTGGCTCCTCTTTTCCTAATGGGTGCATCTGGTTGGCGCAGTGATCGCTCTGTGCGTAAGTCGGGTTCTCGCAAGGGGTGCTGGCCCTTTCACAGTTCTCCCCATTGATGGGATGATGGGAGGGAATGGTTCCAGCTGTTTGCTCACACCTTATCTCATGATTTGTGGTCGTTTCCAATGGCCTGTGGTGGCGTTGGGTAGCCCCACCTTCTTTGGGGGGTTCGGGGTTGGAGAGGGGCAGGCCTCTTCTCCTGTGCTTTGTCGGGTATCTCGGAGTAGGTATGCTTGGGCGGGGTCGAAACGACAACGTCCCTCAGGTGGGTTTCCCGTCTGTTTCCAGTCCCGAAATGGGACTGTGCAGACCTGCAGTTCATTCTGGAGTTGACCCGTCTGAACCCCTGGGTCATTTGCCCCTCTTTTCGGATGACTACTCTGTCCCAGGTCCAACTTCTGTTGGAGCCGGGCACTTGGATGGTGTCTCTGGACCTCCGGGATGCATATTGGCACGTCCTGATTCATCCAGGGTTCAGAGATTAGTTCTGGGTTTGTTGTGGAGCATTTTTTTCTTTGGGTAGTTCTGTCCACTCTTTTGACTTATAGTAGTAGTTTTAACCAGAATAGGGGTTTGTTTTGGGATTGCTTACCTTTCTGGGTGTCTGACCCAAAAAGGTTCTAGCTCATGGTCCCTGGTAGGCCTAAGAACTCCATTCACACTGACTGATGCCAAAGTGCATGATAGTTCCATATCAGCCTGGATAAGCTTCGGGAGCCTCCGGGTCTCGCCCAGAAAATGGCATTTCATTACATTCAACAATGTTTTTTTTTCATGAAGCTCATTCCATATGGCCCTTTCCCTACACACACACTCAGTTATAACACAGTCCATGAGTGTAACTCAATTATACACACATGCTCACCTACTTTTGTAAAGCATATAGACAAAACTATGGAATATGCATTTATATATATGTGATTTTTTCTGTCTGGCTCTTCAATATTGCATGCAATCAAAGATATGACTAACAGAGATAAATAATTTCTCCCAACAGAGCATTGGTTTTGGCTAGTATGGAGGTCAAATTCCATGTTGATCCTGACACGGACACTGTGGTTGACATCGTAGCAAAGCAACACTTGGAGACAATGAGCATGGTGGAGGAGTTCATGTTGCTCGCCAATGTAACAGCTGCAGAAACTACACTCCAGGTAATACACAGAGAAATCATATTACTGTATCATGATACATCAATGAGAAAATCCACAGGGAATACTCAGCGCTAAGGTTCGAATCCTCATCATGGCTCCTGTGGATTTTCTACACTCCAAGTATATACTCTCATTTACAGAATTTGGGGTAATAATATATTGTACTTTCATAATACTGTACAAGGAATTTTGCTACTATACATTAAATAATTGTGGTGTATAACTGGGAGGTTCCAGCACTGGATCTTGGGCCAAGACCCCTGTCATAACAATGATACATAAAATAATGAAACCATGTACTGTATTAAGATAAACTATTATTAATGCAGTACTCTGTAAAAAGATGATAAACTAGGGGTGCTTATAATGTCTGTTTAGTAATATTGTTTTGATGAGTTAGTGTGTGATGTGGTGGTAAGATATACAGCCAGGCTTATGTGCACACAGCTTTATGCGCACACACCCATACAGTTCCTGTATTTTATATTATTTATACAGACATTTGTAGACAAACACATTAATTTTACTCTCTAAGCACAAGCTTATGGTCCCATGGGCTGGTGGACTCTATGAATATATAGTAGTTTAACCCTTAAACTGCGCGACACATCAATAGCTGTGGTGAGTAACTCGCGGAATTGCGCACCACAGTTATTGACGGGTTGTAGTACTGCGCAAGATTTAAACGGCCCGCGGTTTAAAGGGGGCACCAATAGACTGCCCAGGGGTGAAAGCAAACAGACGCCATCTTGGAAAAAATCCAGCGTAGGCCGCCATTGTGTGGGAGCCTCAGTTACCCAGCAGACACGATGGCGAGCGCATCACGTCCCAACGCCCAACCCCGCTCAACGCTCCGCACCACTCAATCATTGACTGAGGATGAAATTCATACTGAATTATTTTCTGATGTTGAGGGAACTGTTATTGATGACTGTTATTGTCTCCCCTCTCCCCCCTTTGTCCCCTCTCTTCCTTTATCTTCCCCTTGTCTCCTCTCTCCCTTCATCTTCCCCTTGTCCCCCCTCTCCCCCTTCATCTTCCTCTTGTTCCCCCGCTCCCTTCTATTATATATTAAATTATAGGCCAGTTGCACTAACATCACACATAATAAAAGTTTTTAAAAAGAGTGATTAGGAATCAAATTTCTAGTTTTTTGGAAAATAATGAGTTGCACAACCCGGGACAACATGGATTTAGAGTGGGAAGATCCTGTCTGTCACAGTTACTCAATCACTATGACAAAATCACAGAAGCTCTAGAAGAAAAGTAAAATGCAGATGTAGTATACAAAGACTTTGCAAAGGCATTCGACAAATGTGATCATGGAGTGATTGCACACAAAATGAGGTCAATGGGAATAACTGGTAAAGTAGGACGCTGGATACTCAATTTCCTGTCGAACAGAACACAAAGAGTAACAGTCAATCAAATAAAATCAAATCCAAGTGCAGTTAAAAGCTCTGTACTTCAAGGTACAGTCCTTGCACCACTGCTGTTCCTTATTCTCATATCAGATATAGATAAAAATACAAGTCCTTGCACCACTGCTGTTCCTTATTCTCATATCAGATATAGATAAAAATACAAGTCACAGCTTCGTGTCATCCTTTGCAGATGACACAAAAATCAGCATGAAAATTACCTCTGCTGAAGACATGGAAAAATTACAAGCAGATATTAACAGTTTTCGATTGGGCAGCAGAAAATAACACAATGTTTAACAGCGATAAATTCCAGGTACTCGGGTACGGCAAAAATGAGGACCTGAAACATAATACAGGGTACAAAACACAATCGAATCTGCCCATAATAGATAAACAGCATGTCAAGGATTTGGGAATAATGATGTCCGACGATCTAACGTTTAGGGAGCATAACCAAGCAAATATTGCGTCAGCCAGAAAAATGATAGGATGGATTACGAGAACTTTCAAATCCAGGGATCCCATCACGATGGTTGTACTCTTCAAGTCGCTGGTGTTGTCCTGTCTCGAGTACTGCTCAGTACTCACTTTCCCCATCAGAGCAGGAGAGATTGCTAAAATAGAGGGAATACAGACAACATATACGGCACGCATAGACGCGATAAAGCACCTAAATTATTGGGATCGTCTCAAAGCTCTCCAAATGTACTCATTAGAAAGGAGACGAGAGAGATACCAAATAATATACACATGGAAAATACTGGGGGGCCAGGTCCCTAATCTACACAGTAAAATAACAACGTACTGGAGTGAACGATATGGAAGAAAATGCAGAATAGAACCAGTGAAGAGCAGAGGTGCCATAGGCACAATCAGAGAACACTGTATAAACATCAGAGGTCCGCGGCTGTTCAACGTCCTTCCAGCAAGCATAAGAAATATTGCTGGAACAACCGTGGACATCTTCAAGAGAAAACTAGACTTTTCTAAAAGATGTTCCGGACTAACCGGGCTGTGGTGGGTATGTGGGCCTGGGGCCGCTCCAAGCAACAGCCTGGTGGACCAAACTCTCACAAGTCAAATCTGGCCTCGGGCCGGACTTGGGGAGTAGAAGAACTCCCAGAACCCCATCAACCAGGTATCAACCAGACTGACATTGATAAAGACTATACACTGAGTCTGATGGGAATGAAACAGAGTGAGAATGAGATTGTGCCAGCTCTCAGGGAGAGGCCTACACGTTCACCACTGCCTCCTCGCCCAGTCTCTACACCAATTCGCTCAAGCCACACTGTTCATGTGGTTATGTGCCGTATGAGGATATTTTTGGAGATGAGTTAGAGGAAGGTGACTCTTTCTCGTTTTAGTGAAGTTGAATCAGAAAATAGTATTACCACGCCTGTTGCTAGTGCCAGTGGAGTGGGTGGTGTTACCAAACGGTGTTTTGTCACATCAGCAACTCGTCCAGCAAATGCCATCACATGGCACCACATGGATACAATGAAGAACAAAAGCCCTCATGTTCATGTGATTTTACCTCATCTTCAGGTCACTCCCGTACTGTGCGTAGATGGGCTTCATCTCCTGGTCCATGGTGTGCAACGATTCCTTGCCGCTGTTGCATCTCGCAAGACACCAGGTGTTACTTGTGTGAAGTGATGAAGATTTTGTTCCACTAATTCCTGCCTTTGACAGTAAAGATGTTGGGATTACAGAACTTTTCCCTGATACTGGTGAGGACATGTGTGAAATGGACTTTTCTGGGGGGAGCCCCGTCGGCTCCCCGGAGCTATCCCAGGCTGATATGCTAATGTCAGACTTTGGCATCAGTCATGTGTATGGAGTTCTTAGGCCTACTGGGGACCACGGCCAGAACCGGGCCCCCTTAGAGAGGCAAAGGGAGTAATGGCCTATAGAAACCCCCGTGTGGTTGGAAGCATTTTGTTTGCCATCGACCGGATCAGGCACCCAGAAAGGTAAGAGCCCCAAAACAAACCCCTGTTCTGGTTAAAATTGCTACCAAAAGCTGAACTAGTGGATAGAACTCCCCAACAGAAAACGAGCAAACTAGTATGACATCACACGTCACTGCGCCCCTGTCTGCGCAGCTTCCCCCTCCCCGGGAGGGGGAAGGGGGAGCCCCAGACCCTTCACGCCGGCTACCCACACCTCAGTTCTTGAGGCTGATGCTATAGGCGAAGGTCGTGTGCTCTGGCTCCAGTGTCGCCACAGCACTGTGCTTCGTGTGTGGTGTTTGTTTTCTGTGAGTGCGAGAGCCAGGAGTTATCTTCAGTACTCGGGGCTGGGGAAGGGCTGACTTGGGGGCCTTGAGCCGTGCTGGACCCCCCCTGAGTTTTTCTTCCCTCTGAGTGGGGCTTGTTGTTACAAGGAGTGGGGTTTTCTTTTCCCCCCTCTGCGTACGAGTTGGATTTGGTGTCGGCCCCTCCCCGGGTTCGGTTCCGTCTTTCCAGAGGTTTTCTGCTTATCGCATCCAACCTGGTGTGGTGCGGGCGGCCCTTGCAGCGTACCTCCTGCATGACCCGGATTATGCCTCGGAGATGGATACATACGAATTCAGGTTTAGGACTTCGTTGCCTTTTGAGCTCCGTTACAAGGTTCCGGAGTCTTCCTGGCTAGCGGACTGCCCATTGTTTGTTCTGGATTCCTGGCATTCCTTCTGTCGTTCCCGCATGCTGGAGTGGCGGGAAGCTTCCACGGTGATTCAGGTTTTCCTGGGGGACAATCTTGAGTACCTGAACGAGTGTTTGTTTGCCCCTGCCCTTCCCTGCAATGTGGGCATTGTTCTGCTCCATGTGCAGGTTCCCTCCCTTTCGACGGCATTCGTGGTGGAGGACTTGCGCGCTCAGGGCCTTTTGGCTTCTGCCTTGCGGTTCTTTTCCCTTCTGGAGATGTCCTTGGATTTGCTCGTGGAGGATGTGAGGGCGCTTGGGTCCGTCCCGGGGTCCGGCGCCTTGTCCTCGGCAGCGCGTTTGTCGGCTGTCTTGTTGAAGCTTTTTGCGCCGATATTGCGGGATGCGGCTTCCCTGCTTTATGTTTCCCGACTCGCGTGTCGGCAGGCGATGCTGGGTTCCTCCATGGAATCTGCTTGGGCTCTTAGTCATGTGTATGGACTAAGTCATTGCTTCAATGACTACCACTGTCTCCAGGACTTCTAAATGTCCAATAATGGAGCAAAAACCTGTACATATTGAGTGAGTGCATGTATATTTATTGATGAAAAATCTGAATATATATTATATTATGTTGTAAAAGAAAACATTTGTGTGCGCATAATTGTGACACTAATATGCGAGTGTGTATTGAATATACTGTATGCAGGTTGTATTATAATATAACATCGAGTGACATTATATTGAACAATATCAGCGAAAAAAAATTGTGGTAAAATATGCCTAGACACTGTAAATAATGCAGCGAAAATAAATTCATGGCAACTCATGCTTGAAGGCCGCGTGCGACTCCTCCGAGATGCACGCTGCTTAAGCGCCCACTTGCTCGTGACGTCATTGCCCAACTTCTCGGCTCATTTTCGACATTAGTAAGTAAAATTAATTTTTATTTTTTATTTTTCCAGTGATCAGGGAACACAAATGAACACTTTTATGAGACGAAATAATTTTTAAAATTTTTTTCTTGCGCCTGGGCGTGTTGCAGGCTAAAATCGCAAGAACAGCCTAGGGGTTAAGGGTTTATTTTAATGGGAACATTGTGGTGAGTTTTTAGGTGTGTGTTGTGCTGTAACTATGTAGTGATACTGCTTAACAATTGTAATGTAACTAGTGCTTTAACTCTCTAGCACTATTTATTTTGTTATTCCTTTTTTTACTCTATACGTTATATATTGTGAAACATCCTACCTGAAAGGAACCTCCTACCTGAAAGAAGCCTCCTAACTGATATAAAAATCTACTTTCACTGAACGATCCATTTTTAAATTTTCTCTGTACAATCTATTTTGATACTTGTATGAAGTATTTTTATTTTTCTCTTTGTACTTTGCAACTTTCTATTTTTAGTTTTTGCAACTTTGCAACATTTTGCTCTTTCCTTACTATGCAACATCTTGGACTTTCCTTACTATACATCCTTGCAACATGATCCCAGTGCACGATCATGACCTTGCAACATTGCAAGCTGGCATGGAGGGGCCAGTTGTAGTCCTCATTTCCCCTACTTTTATTTTTTTTATTGTCAATGCTAAATTTGTTCTGATTGTGCTGTAAACACAGTTGTCTCTGTATTCACTGCAGGTACTAAGAACTATGCAATCTCTGGTAGAACTTAAACCTTCTGACAGAAGCAAATAGCATATTACACTGTATACAATCAGAATCGTGCTGTATTATCTGTTGCGAGTCCTAAATTCTATTTCCTTCATCGTTTATAACTGATCCCTTAACTGTGATACTCACAAATATATTAATAGTCAAATATTTCTCCTGCAGAGCTTCCCAGATTGTGCCCTTCTTCGTCGACATCCTGCACCTCCTCCATCAAACTTTGAGCCATTGTTGTTAGCAGCAAAAAGTCAAGTGAGTTTATTAAAATATAATTAATTTCAAGTTAATGTAGTACAGTGGCACCTCGACTTATGACTGCCCCTACTTACAAATTTACAAAACATGAGATCATTCGTAAACATGAAAATGGTATGAGGGTTGTTGATGTAGAGTAGAGGATGTCCCTTCCTCAATTATTAAGAAAATGTGCAGTATGGGAAGAATTGCAAAGTTTTGCTGAAAAGTGTCACCCAAATCAAGCTGTAGCAGAGCGTTGTGTTAACCTTTTTAATGACAATGTGATATCTCACTTCAGACAAGTGTTACAACGTAGGGAAAAACAAGTGTTGCTAAACAGGTTTTTAGTGAGAAAAACAAGCAGTGAGCCACAAGCAGGTCCTAGTGGTATGCAGGCAAAACATAGGAGAGAGAGAGTACCCCAGAAAAGTCATCACTTCCTGATGTTATAATGGAAGGGGAAACCACCAACGTAATTTTTGGTCATCTTATCAATCTTCTCTCCTAACTTTTCCAACCGTCTCTGTTTGCGAAAGTGAATTTTCTTATATTTCTTTGGCATCTGTGTTTAGTTAGTTTAAATCTGTGACTTCTTTTTCTTGAAGTTCCAGGTCTCAGGAAATCTTCCCTCTTAATTTTATAAATTCCTGTTACTATTTAGTACGTAGTGATCATATCACCTCTTTTACTTCTGTCTTCTAGTTTTGACATATTTAATGCCTCTAACCTCTCTTTGTAGCTCTGTGTGTGTACCATAAGTGTGTGTGTGCGTGTGTGTGTGTAATTACCTAAGTGTACTTACAGGATGAGTGAAAGAGAGAGAGTATGAGAGAGAGAGAGAGAGAGAGAGTATGAGAGAGAGAGAGAGAGAGAGAGAGAGAGAGAGAGAGAGAGAGAGAGAGAGAGAGAGAGAGAGAGAGAGAGAGTATGATAGAGAGAGAAAGAGAGAGAGTATGATAGAGAGAGAGAGAGAGAGAGAGAGAGAGAGAGAGAGAGAGAGAGAGAGAGAGAGAGAGAGAGAGAGAGAGAGAGAGAGAGAGAGAGAGAGAGAGAGAGAGAGATAGAGAGAGAGTATGATAGAGAGAGAGAGAATGATAGAGAGAGAGAGAGAATGATAGAGAGAGAGAGAGAGAATGATAGAGAGAGAGAATGATAGAGAGAGAGAGAGAGAATGATAGAGAGAGAGAGAGAATGATAGAGAGAGAGAGAATGATAGAGAGAGAGAGAATGATAGAGAGAGAGAATGATAGAGAATGATAGAGAGAGAGAATGATAGAGAGAGAGAATGATAGAGAGAGAGAATGATAGATAGAGAGAGAGAATGATAGATAGAGAGAGAATGATAGATAGAGAGAGAGAATGATAGATAGAGAGAATGAGAGAGAGAGAGAGAGAGAGAGAGAGAGAGAGAGAGAGAGAGAGAGAGAGAGAGAGAGAGAGAGAGAGAGAGAGAGAGAAAGAGAGTATGATAGAGAGAGAAAGAGAGAGAGTATGATAGAGAGAGAGTATGATAGAGAGAGAGAGAGTATGATAGAGAGAGAATGATAGAGAGAGAGTATGATAGAGGGAGAGAGAGAATGATAGAGAGAGAGAGAGAATGAGAGAGAGAGAATGATAGAGAGAATGATAGAGAGAAGATAGAGAGAGAGAGAGAGAGAGAGAGAGAGAGAGAGAGAGAGAGAGAGAGAGAGAGAGAGAGAGTATGATAGAGAAAGAGAGAGAGTATGATAGAGAGAGAGAGAGTATGATAGAGAGAGAGAGAGAGAATGATAGAGAGAGAGAGAGTATGATAGAGAGAGAGAGAATGATAGAGAGAGAGAGAGAATGATAGAGAGAGAGAGAGAGAGAGAGAGAGAGAGAGAGAGAGAGAGAGAGAGAGAGAGAGAGAGAGAGAGAGAGAGAGAGAGAGAGAGAGAGAGAGAGAGAGAGTAGAGAGAGAGAGAGAGAGAGAGAGTAGAGAGAGAGAGAGAGAGAGAGAGTAGAGAGAGAGAGTATGAGAGAGAGTAGAGAGAGAGAGAGAGAGAGAGAGAGAGAGAGAGAGAGAGAGAGAGAGAGAGAGAGAGAGAGAGAGAGTATGAGAGAGAGAGAGAGAGAGAGAGAGAGAGAGAGAGAGAGAGAGAGAGAGAGAGAGAGAGAGAGAGTATGATAGAGAGAGAGAGAGAATGATAGAGAGTAAAAGAGTGAGTGAGTGGGTGTGTTTGTGTGTGTGTCAATATGTGTCATATTTTAACTTCTATTTCAAGTACTGTATTAATGACTTTCCTTCTCCAGGAAGAAGACTCTCCACTCCTGTGAGAGTCTCCATTTTTCTTCATTTTTATTCAGTGATAATGAATAACATGCAGGCTGGGTTATGTTTTACTTATGGGTTTATAACTTTTGCAAACTTATGAATCATGATGATTTGAAAAGCATTTTATACTACTCATGGATCAAATGGAGGTTGTCACATAATGCATGCATGTGAAATCTCCATTGATTCATGTTCACTTTCATAGTTATATTTGCTACTGCTTGTGTGCAACTGCTGCCTACCTTGATGCTACCACTCTTCCCCACCAGAATATTAATTTAGACGTAACGAGCAACAAGACCTTGGCCAAGAGTCTGGACAACAACACTCGGGAGAACAATCCGTTCTTCAACAGCATGTTGCGTATAATGACGACACGATGCATGATGCAGGCTCTCTACTTCTGCTCTGGTACTCGGGAGCCTCCAGAATATTATCACTATGGACTAGCCACACAAACCTACACTCACTTTACTTCACCCATCAGAAGGTTTGTGTATTTCTCTATTACTCTCTAATAAATAACACAAACAATGGGTGTAATTTTACACACTGTTCTTTATAGGTATTGTAATAATATTGATTGCTGAATAACTTGAGAACTCTCTAAGGTTTCATTTGTTTTTTTTTAAATATAGATTTTTATATAGATTATATATTTTTAAATATAGATTATATATATAAATAGATATTTTTTGTGACGGGCTGTGGTATCGCAGCTATACTGAACCAATATGGTATGGCTCTCCCGCACACAAATAAAAAAAATGCTGCTATTCGCCTTGCAGTGTGTAAGTCGCAGGTGGAAACAAATGAAAATCATCAAATAAATAATTAAAACAATTTAATAAAATATTTATGAACAAAAATGGCACCTGAGAATACTTGGCTGTTATTATATAACAAATCAAATAAGTAAATGAAAGTTTAACTCTAATACAATGCATGAAGATATACTAGTGTACTGAAGACAGCTACCACACCACCACGGCATCAGACACACAGACGACGGGTGAGAGAGACCAAGGTGATCCAAGAGCACTAAGAGAGAGACTGCTTCTCCAGCCCTTTATATAGTCCGGCGGTGATGACTTGTCCGGTGTCAACACAAGGTGGACATCTGGTCAACTAGCAGACTGCTCCTTGTGGCTGGCGGTGCCTTTGTGTTGAGTTGCACCGTTGAAGGTGGCTAACTGCTTGTTTGTGAAGGCAAACTACTGGTTAGCAGAGGCACCCAGCTTGCCTCTGAGTCGTATCAGACCGTGCCAGGCCCTGGGGGGTACGGAGAGGCGGAGAGGTGGCAGCACTGTTGACTTATCTAGGCTGGTGTAGATGTAGACTTTCAGTGCAGAGGCATTGAAGGTGAAGGGAAAAGGCAGTTCCACTGCTATGCAGAGGATTCACGTGACATTTTAAATCAAGATTTTTTTAATATAATCTAGTTTGTTATTAGGATTTCTTCAAAGGTGATTACATGATGCATGCTTTATAGTATCTGCCTGATTCATTGGCGCTGCTAAAGCAGATTGTAAGCACATTGTTGTATACAGACTCAACAAGACTTAAAGGCCCTTAGCAAGTTACCAAAATTTTTTTTACTAAGATGTGAGAGGAACATTTTCAAAACATTTTAATCTTCTAATATCTGGGAGGAGCTCCACCTTGTCCTCCCTGTCCCCCACCCCAGTTGCTCCCTGATGCCCTCTCACTGAGGTGGCTGCTATCTATGAGTTCACATCAGTCATGGGAGTTCTGCTTCACATACCGTGCGTGGACCAGAACCAGAACCTGCACAGAGACACAGAGTAATACACACAAAAATCACAGTACCTGTACCGTGATGCATCAAATGAACAAATCCACAAGGGCCGTGATGAGGGTTCGAACTTACGCCCGGGATGATCCCAGAAGCTGCCTTAGTCGTTGAGATGCTGTTGTGGCCTAGTCAACTAAGGCAGCATCTGGGATCATCCCGGGAGTAAATTCGAACCCCCATCACGGCCTTGTGGATTTGTTCAATTTCAGAGAGCAAATAACATTCTGCAAACTCCACTGTGTAACACCATAAAGGGTTTTAATACAATCATTGAAACCAGTAGAGTCAGTTCACACAGAAACTGAGTGGTGACAGGCTGTTGGTTCTTGACAGTAGGAAAGTTCACACGTCAGAAGTAATTATCTAAGTTTTCTGGGGGGAGTCTCTTTGGCTCCCCGGAGCTATCCAGGCTGATATGTAATATATTAGACTTTAGCATCAGTTAGTGTGAATAGAGTTCATAGGCCTACCAGGAACCATGAGCCAGAACCTGGCCCCTCTCAGAGAGGCACAAGGAGCAATGGCCTATAGAATAGCATATGTTATTTAGATTCTATGTCTGCCATCGATCAGGTCAGGCACCCAGGAAGGTAAGCATCCCAAAACAAACCCCTATTCTGGTTGAAACTACTACTGAAAGTCAAACGAGTGGACAGAACTCTCCAAAGAAAAACAAGCAAACGAGCATGACGTCACCACTTGCCTCGCTGCCGTCTGTGCAGCTCCCCCCTCCCCATGAGAGGAAAAAGGGGAGCCCCAGACCCCTTTCGCCGGCAACCCACACCTTCAGTTCTTTGGCTGATTTCTGTCCTCTGCTCTGTGCCTTGTGGTGTGAGGCAAGTCTTCTCTGGTGGTGCGCGAGCCAGGAGTAATTTCCCAAGTACTCGGGCTGCATGCACTTAGGGTCACCTTCCCTAGGTGCCCTGTAGTACTGCCCTTGGGGCCAACTTCTACAGGTCACCGTGGGGTCTACCTCTGTTGGTCTTTTGCTGCTTGGTAATTGACCGTCCTGAGTGTGCTGGGGTTTTTCCTCCTCCCTTATTTACCTTAGGGTAATGGGTAGTTTACCCCTTACCTTAGGGTAAGGGATAAACTACCTCTTACCCTAAGTGGTAAACCCATTAGGGTAAGGGTTTACCCTAAGGGTTTGCAGTCCTTAGTCTAGGGGCTCAGAGTGCTGCATAGCTAGTTATCACCTATAATAGCGGCTGGCTCTGTTCCGCCTGGGTACATTGTCATCTTGTGGGGGTTTTTCTTATTTTGTTTTCCTGCTGGTTGGGGGGTGGGGGTCTGCCTTTGGTTTGCTGCCCCCTATCTATACCTTAGGTTTCTCTCTCTGTGTTCCTGGTGGTACCCCCTGCTAGGGCCCCTGTGAGTGGACATGTCCCGGGGGTTCAGCTTCTAGAAAGTTTGTTGGTAGACTTGGGCGCCAGTTAGCAGTTCCCTGCCTGGGCTTCCCTGAGCATGAGTTCCATCTCAGGACCCTGGGAATTCCCACGGGGGCGCGTGGGTCCAATGTATGTGACCCCTCAGTCTCCCCCCCCTCGCTTTGTGCGAGTTTGAGGTTTGCTCTGTTCCCTTGTCTCGGAGTGACTCTGTTTTTTTGCCTCTGTCGAGCTGCTTGCTGGGTCGATGACACCTTCGACCCGGAGTCCAGCGAGTCTTGTTGCTTGTTTGTGACTCACTTTACCCAATCCACTGACGACTCTATTCAGGTACAGTCGGCGCACGTTAAGTTTAGGTCGTTGCAACGCGCTAGGTTGCTTGCTTACCCTGAAGCCCCCGAGGCTGCCTCCGTTTTGGTTATAGGGACCCGGACTTCGGGGGCGTTGGTCACTTTGGCCTTGGTTTCGTCCACTCCCCCTCATCCTTTTCCTGCTCGTTCGGTCTTGTCCTTCCCCCCTTCTACATCCGGCTCCGCACCGTTTAAAGGTTTTGGAGTCGGGGCAGCGTTTAGATGGGCGGGAGACTCTGGCAGTCTTGGGGATGCCCCTTCCGGGGTGGCGACGGAGGCATTAGAGTCGGTTCTCCCTGCTGAAGCTTTTGGGTCTGACCAGTGGGCCCCCTTCCTTCCGGTTTCCACGGCTGTGCCGGCCTTTTCTTTTGAGGCCGGGGCTTTGGGGAACGACTCTGTCCCTGGGTCCTGATGTGGTGATTCCTGGGGCTGGGAAGGGGCTGACTTGAAGGCTTTGTGCCCCATTGGGCCCTGCCTGGGTTTTCCTACCCTCCGAGCAGGGCTTACTGTTACATGGAGTGGGGGTTTTCTTCCCCCTTCTGCATAAGAGTTGGGATTTGGTGTCAGCCCCTTCCCCGGGTTTGGTTCTGTGTCCCTTCGGGTCCATCAGTTCTGTCCTTCCGGACGTTTTCGGCTTCCTGTGTCTCACTGACTGAGGTGCGGGCGGTCACCTCAGCCCATCATGGTAGGCTGCTGGTGCCAGTTTCTGGGTCCGTGCTGCCTTCAAACCAGTCTTCGTCTGGCCGGCGTGGTGATGGCTGTGTGTGTAAGTCGGGGTTTCATGAGGGGTGTCAGCCCTTACGCAGTTCGCCCCATTGGCGGGGCAGTGGAGGGGGGCCCTCTGGTCGCTCAGGCCTGGTCTCACGATTCGTGGGCTTTTCGGGTCGTTTCCGATGGCCTGCGGTGACGTTGGGTGGCCCCTCCTCCTTCGGGAGGTTCGGGCTGGCGTGGCGGGCCTCTTCTCTGCTCTGTCAGGTCATCTCGGAGTGGAGACGCTTGGGTGTGGTCGAAACGATGATGCCCCTCAGGTGGGTTTCCCGTCTGTTCCCAGTCCCGAAACAGGATTGTGCAGACCTGCGGTTCATTCTGGACTTGTCGTGTCTGAACCCTTGGATTTTTGCCCCTCTTTTCGGATGATTACTCTGTTCCAGGTCCAGCTTCTGTTGGAGACGGGCTCTTGGATGGTGTGTCTGGACCTCCGGGACGTGTATTGGTATGTCCTGATTCATCCGGGGTTCAGGGATTGGCTTGAGTTTGTTGTGGGGCATCTCAGTTACTGCTTTCGTTGTCTCCCATTCAGGTTGCATCTGGCACCTCATGTGTTCACACGCCTTACCCAGGTTGTGGAGGCCCATCTGCGTCTCTTAGGTCTTCGGGTTCTAGCCTACCTCGACGACTGGCTGATTTGGGGTCCCAGCCAGTCTGGGCGTCTGCTCGCCAGGGATTTGGTTCTTCCCAGCTTGCCGGGTTCGGGTTCCTGGTGAATTGGCGGAAATCCCATCTGGTTCCCTCTTAGGTTCGGATTAGGCTGGGTCTTGTGTGGGACTCTTGGATCGTTCCTTGGCTCTTTGGGGATGGTCGCTTCAGGTGTCACGTCTGCTTAGTTCTCGGAGGGCCCAGCCTTGATTCAGGCACTACTTGCTCGGTGTCCGTACCTGGGGGTTTTTCCACGGCTCCGCCTTTTTCAGATGATCGGTCTAGTCCATTACGTGGCTGGCTCGGTCTTCTCGAATCTTCGCGTCTGGCAATTTTAACTCAAGTATCACCATCTGTTTGGTGATCAGGTGGCTTCGTTGATGGTGTCTCACCTGCGTGCTTCGTCTTGGCAGCAGTATGTGGTTAACTGGGGGCTGGGGACTATCTCCGGTAGGCAGTTTGACTCCTGGCTTCCCCTTATATACTCAAGCAGTTGTACATTGATAGATAGAGGGTCCTCGTC